TGGAGTTTTTAAGACGGTGATGATTTCATCTGGTTGTAAGTTTGATCTTTTGTTTTATTATTTTTTCTTTCTTTTCTATTTCACGCAGTGCTTCTCGGATGTAATTATTTCAGAGCTCGCTGGTAGCTCCGCGATGCAATTAAGCAGACTTCGTTAATTGGATACTATTGCAATTGGCTTCCGGCTTGCACTAATAACTGTGCCGGCGAATCGTGTGTAATTAAACCGTTATGTAGTTCATTAGTCCGTTATGTCATCTTGTGGTAAATTAGGGTACAATAGGACCATGAAAATATCTAAACGGTAATTATTCAACTCTAGGGAAGCCATAATGCTCAACAATCGACGCACAATTTTCCTATCATGACTCGTCGCACTTCAAAACAACATAAGTTCCTTTCAATCCTAGTCTTGATTAAAGACTGTTGCCGCGGCAGTGGAGATCAACAAAATGAAACTAATTCAGTCTTGGTAACATTGGCAGCGCTACCCGGGAAATTCCGAGCATACTTCACACGCATGCATTAGCTTGAGTACAGCACGTGTGAGGTATGCTAGAAATTTCCTGGGTAGCGCTGCCAATATTGCTAAGACTTGCTTCGATTCGTCTTGTTGGTAGCGATCTCGCTTGACACGGACCGGCTGTGTGAGGGGCATAAAAAAAAATTCAGTCTTAGATCAAGACTAGTTCACAACGAAGTCTACATGTGCGAGTTTATTATTGTAACTGTTACCGATCTCTGAGGTGATATTATCAGACTAAACTGTGCAATGGGCCCACATGTCATGTTAATAGATTTTAAGACGTGCCCTGTGCCATGGACGCTATAATACAATGGAAACCGCGTGTAAAAAAAAATATAAAAATCCGCCATTTTATAACTATGAAGATTATAATTACGAAAATCTTAGTGTTACCATGTCAAATAATGGTTTCACTTCAGATGAATCGTTGAATCATTCCACTATTCATACGTTTTCACCCATAATCGTCATTTAACAAAATCCAAGTCGAAACATGCAGCATTTTTAAGCATAGCATTAGTAAGCACTGCCTTATGGCCCCTGGTTTATAATTAAGACAGTAGCGCGTATGTGCCTCCGTCCTTGACATAATCATGTGCTACTGTATGCTAACGAGGTTTGAATAATTAAAATGCATGAATGCCAGACCGATGGCTGCAAATGAAGCGGGATGGGTGCCTAGAATCCAGGGCTGATTTTTTTTTTCTTCTTCATCAAGTCAAATTAGATCATGGTCTGTACCCTTACTGCCAGTTATTGTCGAATGCTGGGGTGAATATACTTTATAAAGGGACACTAAATGGGACGAAACAAAAATCAGCAACTAAATGTTAAGTAGGCTATACATTATTGCCGTCGTTGTTCGCATTGTAGCTTTAAGTATTGAGTTTTCTAAAATATTGTCCATGGAATCTCATTTCAAATTCAAGGAGCTTTTTTGGAGATGAAAAGTCATCTTCCTTGCATTATACATTTTCAATGTTGTGACTTTTTTTTCCTCGTAAAGTTATCTCAAGGACAGGATTATCAACTTAAAGTAGAAAGGAAACCATTATTTTTGCTCATCCAAGAGGCTCAGCCTAGTGATTGACTGACTGAGTGATTGACTGACTCAGTGTCACTTTTGAGCCGGGCAGTGCTGTTGTATAGGATTACCCCGTAATGCCAATGGATGGGCTAAATCTGGTCCATAGTATATACAAGATGCATGAAAAGACTTCCAGTGAATAGTCATTCTAAATCAATTGAATAGAACTTTGTGCACTCTGGGACCTGCTCTACCAAAGGAACAAAACTCACGAGGCTTTGTTTTGAATTTAGTGTACGAAACTTAACCAATAACAGTTTATAGTCTCGGTTCCCATCGTCGCGGTCTCTTTTACCCCTACACGTTGAATCTCTGGTTTGGTTTGCCTAAGCGTCGAGTATAATGTCCAGGTTCCCACGCTGCTTCTTCGAAAAATCTTTCAATGAGAAGCCAATTTCCTCAATGATAACTTCTCATCGTGTGCCTTGAGCTATCCTCCACGAGGCTGGCCAAGTATTCGGTCTGATGATAGGTGTGTGGTAAGATAAATCCAAGAATGCTTTGCCTCCAATGTGCTCACCGATACAATTATGACGCACGTATACGCATGTGTCGTAAATTGTAGGCTCAACGCCTGCAGTAAAATACATCACCGGAGACGGAACACGAAATTCTCTGCTCGTAATCAAACAACAGTCCCAAGGTTATCACTTGTAATCGGCCGTTCAGAGGAAACAGAAGTTGTGACGCAAATCTGCATAGATGAAGAAATTTATCCAGCAATTTACTTACTAACTGACTTCTAACCACAAGTTCGAATTTATTTCCGGGCGCATAGTCTTTCTTCTACCCCTGAAAAGTGTTCATGTTATTTTCTTGCAAATTTTCTTTCACCGTACGCTGTGGTGTAAAATAACACGAAAGTGGATGCATATGTTGACTTGAAAAGCTAAGTAACAGTGGGCTTAACCTTGTTAGGGGTGACGTACAACACAATATGTAGCTGACATACATTACTCCCAGCAGACTGATGCAAGTCTACCGATAACATTACCAAAGAACATTTAAAACATCAAGTTAATGTCAAACTTATTCACACTCATAACACATCTCGCTAAACGGTTGTGCCATGCACTTTGTACAAGTCCAATTCTGTGCAATATTCGAGTACGGAAGGTCATGTCAGAGCTGCACCATTATGAAACAAGTTACATTCTCCCCCACAGCTTTCAAAAGAAGTATTGTTATTTATCGTGTGCAGCCGAGGACAACCCTTTGTTGCTTGTAATAAAGGTAAACAGGGCCTCGGGCAGGAAAACCTCGGGACAGGAACTAACACGGAATACGACAATAGGTTTGGACATATTTTGCAATGAAGTTGTTTTTTTTAACTCCCAAGGTATAGGACGAACCCATCTAGTTTGATAAAAACATGATGGATACTCATGTCTGACTTTCGTTTTGATTGATCTGCTTCCAATCTTGCGACGATATTTCAGGTATTAAAAATATGATTTATAGTTCTAATAATGACATCATCGAACCGTGAATCTGGGCATAGGCCCGGGAGAGGTTTTTTACACTGAAATCCATTACGTTGTAAAAAGTGGGTATCTTAAAATTTCTATGCAAAACCCCCTACATCGGGGGTTTGTGTAGCAAATACCAGACGGTTAGTTATTACTGCCCATCACGTTCAATTAACTTCGGCAGCGACCGCAAGCCCCATTGATAGAATAAGTTAAGACAGGATCAAGGTACCAACTTTTACGACAACGTGGTAGTAATGTCCAAGTTTGGGATTCAAATGTTGGCCTCGATTACCTCGTGTACACGTGACTTGTTTTGCATTGCTAAATCTGTGAGACTTAACAAGTTCATGTTTATGTACACTAACGACATATTACCGCTCCAATAGTTCACCCATACAAAACACTGAGCACAGATCGCAACGATGTCTTTGAAAATTCATGTGCCCAGTGCTTTCTTGGTGTGGTTATCTTAAGGGGCCAGACAAGTAAATAGAATGCCATAGACCTCAGTGGTAATTACGCGCACTTCCCAAAGTTATTAGAAATGCTCAAATCAGCTCTCTTAGGTGTTCGAGACACGCATCGAATTAAAGCTTATTTCATCATCTTTCATTTTCCGTTAATTTTCTTGGGATCAACCAATGACTTATGGGAGAAAATTCCATCCAAAGATGATCACCCCTAAAAGCAGTCTTGAAGCCCATCGCCATTTTGAAAATGGACGCCTACGCTCCATTGCAAAATAGAACCATTTAAGGGCGTAATTTCATCCAAATTTCACAGAAACATGAGCTCGCAGTCCTTTGCACGGCGCTTCCAACCCCTCTTTTTTTACAAATCATCAAGTTCATTGCCTTAAAAATGCTCTAATACCGGGAAATTTGAGGGCATGCAAATCGTAATCTGGCCGGCGTAGGCAATTTCGGACCGATTTACTGGCCTGCACCCTAAGCGGCCCGGTGAATACCCGTGGTTTCGCTATGGCTGTTGTGAATCCGTTTACAATTGGCTTGATTCTCAAAGGCAGTGAACCATTTTCAGGTACGGATTTGTTAAAATGCTCTGCAAAAGCAGGATGCAAAATTGCCGTCTGGGATCGTGTCCTAATCGTACAGAAAATGTATTGTCGTTATGGAATGCACGTGTACCGTTGTCGCTCAGACGTGAGCCTGACCAGACGAGGTGACGTCACACTTTGTCAGCTTGAATATTCATAAGGTTGTTCCAGTAAGGAGGTGATATTCCACAATCTGTTTGGACTTAGTATGCATGGTATCGGGTAGCAATCTTATAAGGTGTGCACGTGCTAAGGGAGTAGAAGATCTCAAGACTTTGAGAGAGTAGAAAGTCACGCGACAGCGTCTTGAAGAATCGAATCCTTGGCGAATCGATGCATTCTTGAGGGGTCAGAATAGTTCGTGTACCTTCACGTATATCATTTTACGCGTCTCTCAGCAAAAGGTCAGCGATACCGAATGACGTCATCGATACTGTATCGTCTGAGTTTACAAAACGCCCTCAAGGTTGTCTGGTTTCCGACTCGTCCTGTGTGCTGCAACGCCACTGTGGATGTGCAAATACAGACCAACACTATAGCAGACGAGTTGATTGAATGAAAACACGACGGCTATTTATAGAATGCCGGCTGATTCATTCTTTGCGTTCAGTCCATATTTGTGGAATATAGTGGGTAAATAAATCGGATATCTCCGATTTAAACGCCCGCATTTTGTCAGCCGACTTCGATTTGCGATTTTTGTCGTTTCAAAAGCCAATACTGATCAACGGTAATTACGACTGCCATTTTTGTGCGTGCAACGAGATAAAAGCACGTGTTTTAGTGTTTACAAAAGTAATGTGATGCATGAAGTGTTGTGCAATAATTCATTGGATTATCTTTTGTTCTATTTTGGCAGAATAATGCGATCCAACTTTTCAACAATGACGACACGGCTCAGCATAGCTCTCCTGGTAGGTTTATGGACGCTGGTGGGGTCCCAGGACCTCGGTCCCACTGAAGTCATCACGACCGGCCGAATCCTGGGAAAGAGGATGTCTGTGCTCGGGAAAACAGTGGACGGTTTCTTTGGGATTCCGTATGGGAAGGCACCGGAGGGGGAGCTGCGATTCAAGAGCCCCCAGCCCCGCGAGCCGTGGGAGGGTACCTACAACGCCACCACGCACGGATTTGGCTGTTTTTCGGTCCCAGATGAACTTTTCCCAGGATTCGAAGGGTCCGAGATGTGGAACCCAAACGTCCAGCTTAAGGAGGACTGCCTGAACTTGAACGTCTGGGTGCCCTACCCAAGACCGACTAATGCCGCTGTCATGGTATGGGTGTTTGGTGGCTCCTACATCTCAGGCGTGGATTCCTTGGACGTCTATGATGGGAAGACTTTGCCTGCCGAGGAGGGCGTCATTGTGGTCTCCATGAATTACCGGGTAGGCGCGTTGGGATTCCTTGCCATGGATGACCCAAACGCTCCGGGTAATATGGGACTGAGGGACCAGGCTTTGGCCATGCAATGGGTGCAGGATAACATTGGTGTCTTCGGTGGGGATCCAGGACAGGTCACTATGTTTGGAGAGAGTGCAGGTGCCGCTAGTATCTCCCTCCACATGATCTCCCCGGAGAGTATGCACCTGTTCAAGAGAGCAGCTCTGGAGAGTTCTGCCATCACTGTGCCATGGGGTCACTACACCATGGAGGAAGGCATCCGTAGAGGCATGGTGCTGGCCGAGTACCTGCAATGCACAGAAGACACCACGGGTAACGTGCTGACCACACCCCAGGTCATTGACTGCCTACGCAGTAGAGATGTGGTCCAAATCCTGACCTACCAGTGGGTGACCTCGAACTATCTCGACTTCCCATTCGTTCCCGTCATAGATGGTACCTTCCTGACAGAACAGCCAGAATCAGCTCTCAAACGGGGTGCAGTCAAGGACTGTGAACTCCTCATCGGGAGCAACTCAAACGAAGGCGCCTTCTTTCTCATCTACGAAGTTCCAGGATTCTCCAAGGACAGCGAGAGTCTGCTGGACAAAGAAGCATTCATCACGGCGTTGAAGTACGCCTTCCCCAAAGCTAACTCCTTCGGGTTGCAGGCGCTAGAGTACCAATACACACCTTGGTTGAACCCCAACAACCAGTCACTTCTACGGGACGCCATCGACAAAGCTACCGGAGATTGGGCCTTCACCTGCCCGACCTACGAGACGGCTGTCGGGTATGCTCGAGCCGGCCACCCGGTTTACTACTACCGCTTCACGGACAGGGCTTCCAACAGTCCCTGGCCTGAGTGGATGGGCGTGCTTCACGCGGATGAGATCGCTTACATCTTTGGACTTCCACTCTACCCCGAGAAGGGCTTCAACAACCAGGAGGAGCAACTGAGTCGGATGATGATGAGATACTGGGCCAACTTTGCCAAAACGGGGTAAGTCGACAATCAGAAGAAACTTTAAAGCATGTGATAAGAAGCCTGGCCATATCACGCGCACTCTGATCTGCATGTAGTGATCAATAGAACTGAGCTCCAACTCCTTCCTCAGAGTTCAGTGAGTGGATGCTCTCGAGCTACTCAGGAATCTGGATCCTCAGTTGCTGGCTCCATTCCAAACGTCTGATTGTTGTAACACCTGTTCCCTTTTTCTGTCTCCTTAAAATGGTCGCCAATTTTACGCCAATGCTAAATCTTCTCACGGACGAAATTACCTTGAGAAACATAGATGGAGGTGAAGTTGATGTAGTCTTATAGTTCTATAGTCCTATAGTTTTCAAGACAGCTTTGTCAAGTAAGGGCCATCGCTTTAAGATTTTTTCAGTTCCTGAAGCCCACAGAGTTAATTTTTTTGCAAGCTTAATCACAACATCTGCTCATGGCTCCATCAAAAGTCAGCTCGTTCGTTTCGAAGTTCACTCAATCTTCTGTTCCAATTGAAATAATCACCTTCCCTTTTTCCACACACAGTAATCCCAACGGCGATTCCGGAAGCGACTGGCCTCTCTACACCGTCGAACAACAACAATTCTTCACTTTGGACAAATCCATCATTGGTGGTGACTATTCGATAGGACGCGGTCCCTTCGCCCAAGCCTGCGCCTTCTGGCGAGACTATCTCCCCACACTGGTGACACAGACAGGTACGTTGGGGTACTTTGTGGCTAGAGCTACGGCTTTTAGCCATTGGCGCGCTACGTTTTTAGAACCGTGGCCGCTGACAACAAGGCCTTTAATTCGGACACGGCTTAACATTCCCAAGTACAGGATGATAAATGAGGAAGGCAAGTTGTTTGATGCAGTGACGTTGAGCTGACAGGATTTCAAGACATATCCCAAAAGTGCTGTCATTTCATATGGGGCGCCATTTCATGGAATTTGCATGATAATAAATTTGTCATAGCACCACCAGCCTACCCGTCTTCTGCCAAAGTGGGTCCCCCTGGGCAACTATTAAAAGTCATGGTTACAGGGCATTGAAATGGCTCGTCTTGCAGTTGGGAAAAAAAAATCTTGAAAACATTATTTTTGTATGGAGGGAAGCGATTACAGTAGTTCCCTTTCCCTTTTCCGATGATCAAACCAAACTACTTTCTTGCTAAGGACGATTTTTTTGTGTTTTTAATCTCAAACATGATCTTTTAAAACTCACGAGGGCGCTAGACAGCTTTGTTGAGGTCATTTTCACCAACCAGGTCACTGTTGGAGTGCGCAAAAAAAAATCGCATACAAAGCCACGCCCCTCGAGCATCTACCGGTAAATTCCACCGACGGCTATTTTATGTGAGTTTTTATCATACTGTTTGTTTCTGCCTTGTGTTTTGTTTGTAGGCGACATTAGCGAGGCGGAGAGAATATGGAAACAGCAGTTTAACGACTGGAGCACAAAGTACATGGTCAACTGGAAAGCGGAATTCGATAGTTACGTCAACGGAAAACAGTGCGAATAAATATTTTTTGGCGCCAAAATAAGAGCGAGTTTAATTGTGTGGACGTTGACAAGCAACACACTTTTTATACAAAAAAAAGGATTTCCATTTTAGAATAGATCTTTTTGTTCTTTTTAAGTTCCTTTCCGTGAATATTTTAACCGTTGGACTTTTTTTGCATTTGGCTATTTTGATAACATTGTCGTAAATATGAATGTTACATCTACAATTTAGAAAAAAACCCTTTATTTGAGTGTTTTATTAGACGCCAATTGTTTTGATCGTCAACATACTTTTTCTCTTTTTGAATTCTTCTACCTCATGATGACAAATTTATTTTACATGTACATCGTGAGCCTGTTTACTTTCAGTTGTAAAGGGTTACTTATTCTTGCGATTGTTGTTAAAAACTTTAGGGTAATTATGATATGATTCATCAGTGCTTTTACTTTTGTTTTCTTTTGAAACGCACACATCTCATTCACTGAGAAATACGTGAAATTCGATCACCATAGTTAGACTTGAGTCTTTCAAGAGTACATGGTAAGGGCGCCCTCTGTTGACTATAATGGGCCATCCAATCAAGGCGGAAAGGTCACAATGGTGTTTGTTCTCGTTGAAAAAAAATAAATTCAAATGTCATTCATTTACGATATTAACCATTGTGTAAATATTAACGAGTTGTTTTTATACTTAAGAGATACATTTTGGTTATTATTCGGTATTTTTAAGGGTTTTCTTAATCAATTAATGATAAACAACTTGGTTTGTAATCAATTTTCATATATATTATATCTTATAATGGTGGTGGTATGTATAACTGACCAATAATTCAGGATTAAGCGTTCAAATAAACTAACTGTATTATACCAAACTTGTGTTTTCTCTACCCAAGTAAAGATCATTCCTATGATCAATCATTGCAAAAAACGTTGAGAAGCAAGAATCTGGGACTGAGAAACATGTCCAATTTTGTTAGAAAATACTTTGAAAATGCACTCGACTCTCCATATAGACTTTGTACACAACCAAAGAAGTGGCGTCTGGATACTACAGTCTTTCCGGCTTCTCAACCCGTGTGTCTATCAAACTCTAGAAAATGTTGTTTCACAAGGATATAACGCCATGCTGGTTTCATTATTTGTGTTTTATAGTCAACTATGTCCGGCGAAGTACCGCGCGTGTTGGAAATGTGTATTAAGTAGCACACGTTTGCAAATAGACCGTCTGATGAAATACCGTCATCTTTGTGGTCACGTGGTAATCTCGGAGGGCTATTCCCATCATGCCATTTTGTCCCGAGCATGATGGGACGTATTTTCAATGATCGCAAAGATGGGTGGTGCATGGTATCCGTGAAACGTATGTGTAAAAAGCACGCAGATGTGACTGCTCATAATGTGACAATCGTCACCCAAATTAATCCAAGATGGCGGTACACATATCCACGCAACGGGCTTATGATTCACATTCTGTTAAAGAGTGTCTACTGCACAACCAGTTTGGTTTCAAATGCCATTAAAGTCCAATGCTAGATTTACAAATAGCGTCATTGCACGTGTAGTTTTCAAATACTGATAAGAAGCCTTACCAGAGTGAAGTAGTTGGCCTACTGCTGCTCTTCGTTCTGAACAAGGTATTCTACATCACATGTGCTGCAACACCGCCAGAAAGCGAGAGAAGCTCCAGGAGAAGGAATTGATGTGGCCAGAACATGGCCAAGCAGCCAAATGATCTAAACATGCTTGTCCACTCACAAGAATGCTACATCTAACCATGTGAGGAATGCCCATCACGCGAAGATGGAACAGTGCAATGCAAAACGCACGTGACATTGGGTGCTATGTAATATTGCGCGATGTCGAATGAAGAGCACAAGATGGCGTTCAACGAACTGTCTCCACAGTTCTTAGTTGTCTTGTACTAAAATGTAAACAAATTCATATCAACAACATCAAAAAACAGATATTTCAACCCAAAATCTAATGTTGCACGCATCGACAATGTATATCAAATAACGGTTGGTGGTTCAGATTAGGGTGAAAAAGTATATACTTGTTTTATTCAAAGGGCAACAACTAATAGAAAAACAAAAGAAATTTCTTTACCGATTAAATAAATCAGTCTCATAGAATCAGTCATAGAAGCAGAAAATATTGATGTGGTTATACACTCTTCTTATTTTTATATACAGAAATGCCTGATTTAAAATCGAGGTCTCTTTTTACTTCTATGACATAGAACTACGAAATAATTTTAGATCACTTTGTACAATGCATCGATGTAGTATTGATGACGAAAAAAAATGAACATTCTTTCATTGAGAACTAGAATAATATGTTTAACGACTAAACAATGGATAAGTAAGGGGATACAGTTTTTCCATCTTCAGTGGCGCACACAGGATTTGGCTGGGGGGGGGGGGCTCACAAAGTTTGTTTCAATTTTTTTTTAGATGTTTGGTTTGTTTTAAAACGTTGCCAAAAAAATTTGGCGGCAGAAAAATGAAAATAAATGGCGGGGGGGGGGGGGGGGGACTGGACTATTTTGACGTTGGTAGGGCCATTTACACCCCTATTATACTACTCGAAACAAGGCCGCATACATATCACCACGGTCAAATCGTGGGACTAGAAACAAAATTGAAACCCCCCCCAAAAAAAAAAAATAAAATAAAAAAATTACAACCTCGGGGGGGGGGGGGGGGAGCTCAAGCCCACCGAGCCCACCGTGCGCCACTGTCCATGTTACTTTCCATAATACTTTGCTTAAAGTTCCTTAACGATTTGGGAAGTCGTTTATTATGGAAACGTGTAAACAAACTGCAAAATCTCAGATTTGAAAGAAATTCTCGAAGAATTTCTATATTTTAGGAACCAGGGGGTCCAACTACAAACAAACGTCCTTCTCCACAATATGGCGGCACTCGTCACACGTGACGTAACAGCACCAGTTGTACTTGCACCGGCACTGCTCCGTGACCTCTGACACGAAGGTTTTGAAGCCTCGTCCGCAGCACATCAAGTCGCAGCCTTCGGGGCGAGGCGAGGTCCTGTTACATGTCCTGCAAGTCAGAACGGAGAAATCAAAATCAGTCTTGTTAAAGCGGTTAAGGGGTCAAGGACGCCCTCTTGTGGCTCCGTGCTTGTATTTTCTCACAATAATCAAGCATGGCTTGTGGCACACAGTCAGAGTATGTCATGAGAAAGATATTTGGCCGTAGGGCAATCGGAGATTGCCCTTTGAAAAAATATAAGTAGAAAAACAAGCAATGGCAGCCATTTTGAAAATTGCTTGTTATTCTACCTAATTTTTTAAAGGTCAAATCTGCGATGGCCCTATAGCCAAATATCTTTCTTAAGACATACTCTGACTGTGTGCCAAATGCCATACTTGTATAAGCAAAGACACAATTCCCCAAATATTTCCCCTATCGGCCCCACTCAAGCCCCCACTATATACAAAATGTACAATTAAACAGTTGGAAAGCAGTTTCAGCTTTTCGGTATCACTTTCTATTAAACTAGAATTATCCCTACCTTCCGCGCGTCCCGTAGGACCCTGCCCTGAAATTCTGCCTGCAATAATCAGGCGAAGGAGTCAGGTAGATCAGGTCGTACTGCGTGTAATCCTTGAGCCGTGGATCCTTTGGCACGAGTTCACGTCTCACCACGGTCCTCCGGAAGGACACCTCGGTGGCCCCGGAGTACTTCCGCTTCAGGGCCATACCTAGCGGCAAGAACGGAAGACTGCGGTTCAAACCCTACCACTTGCATTGCACATTTACAAATGCTTGCTAAAACGACTGAAATGAAATAATCTCCCGCGCTTTTTTTGGCTCTGATGCACAATATTTAACTTGATAGTCTTCCACTTTTTTTGTATTCAGGACTTTATAAACATGTCGTTCAAAGAATGGGCTTTTTTTTAACGAGTTGGCCATAGGCCTATTAAATTTAAGCGAGGTAAAATCTTCAGTTTTGGAGAATGCGAAGAGAAATGAAAGCAATGACATAAAAGTGAATGAAAAATTAATACCAGTCAATGCATCATTTAAAATTTGTGATTAGGCCTAAACATACCCCAATGTTTGAAGCCACATTTTAAAAACAATTGAAAGTGAGGCTAGAATGCGTAAACTAGTCTGGTACCATCCAACTCAACAATTCACAATTTATAAAATACATTCTGGGAACAGAAACAGAATGGCTGCCTCGTGTGGTCCATACGTAATTAACGCTTCTACAAAAATACACCAAACATTTTCAAGCGAGGCCACTCATTTCTATTTTAGAAAATTGAACATCCTGCATGCACAACTTCATCCCGATCACTCAATTTCATGCGAGTTGAAAATATTCTTATTTCGGGATATTTTTTTTCTGCTCAAAAATAAATTCTCCTAAGGAGGTCCGACAGGATGATAAGAGTCGAGTTCAAATCATTTCCAGATTTCGTTCCCTTCCCCTATAGCGCTTTTCAATTTCCTTGGAAAAACAGTTGTCTTTTTTGGTTCTTGTCTGGTGTGTTTCAAAATGTCATATCCTGCCGTCTGCGCGCTAGAGTATAGGGTATTGTTCTACTTGTCTGGTCCGAGAACAAAAACCCGAGACATTGATTGATGGAGCCGGAAACGGGAACAGGTAACGATAGAAATCGTCTGCAGACGAAAGGTCCCAAGATATCTTTAATCTCACCTTCGGATGAATTTCCATCTCCAATGCATTATGCATAATTACTTCATCATGCCGAAACCAGAAGTTCTTGCCCGAGGCGAACTTCCGGCGCAGACACCGAGGTAAATTTTCATGAATATTCATTAACCAGCGTCATGGGTATCACATTACATGACATCCTGACATCTTAATACAATGATCATTATCACGAGCACCAGACAAATCCCCCGTCATGACGACATGCCACGTCATAGTGGATAGAAAGCGTGCGTCTGAGGTGGCCCAGAGTTTGGCATTGAGCTAAATAATGCAGAAACGGTCACGGTGAGCACAGTCTGATGCTTGCTGCCACCAAGCGACCAATAACTACATGGATTCATTCAAAACAGAACAGGATTTGACTATCGTTGAGGGCAGCAGATTCAATGTGTGGTGTGATATAATAACGTACCTATTACTGAAATGTTGGGTAGGGCTTGCCAGCAGGTTTTGAGGTTACATGAGCCTGACACGCCGTGACACTTGCATCTCTTCTTCACAGTCGATTCTACCAACTAATACATCCAGAAGGAAAACAAATTGATTTGGACTTAATGTCGTTTCTGGTATGGTGGCTTGTATTTCATTCACATAACATATTTAGCAATTAACTGGCGGACACATTGTAGCCGCAACAGTGACAAAAATATCTGAGGTAGCAGCAGCATGAGGACCAGGCTGAAGCAGCAGTGGCAACAACAGCAACAACAACAGAAGCAATAATGCAATGACAGCATGAATCGGCATTTGCTTCCTTAGCAGCCTCAACAACTTAACAAGGTACAAAAGTGCATCTTCAACAGGGAAGCGGTACCAATGGCAGCACAGAAGTAGAATGCAGATGATCGGCACGGTAGCAGCAGCAGCAGCAACATTAACAGCAATATTAACAGCAGCACCAGCAGCCGCAACATCACATCAGCAACAGCATCACTAGCAGCAACAGCAACAACAACATTAACAGCATTATCAGCAGCAGCATTATCAGCAGCAGCAGCAGCAGCAACAACAACAACAACAGCAACAACAGCAGCAACAGCAGCAAAAGCATCAGCATCACTAGCAGCAGCAACAGCAGCAGCAACAACAACATTAACAGCATTATCATCATCAGCAGCAGTTAGCAGCTCCAGGAACGGAAACAGCATCTACTGTCAAATGCATCAACTACAATAAAGCACACCTCAACCCACCTTTAAGCCTGCAATATTGTTGTGCAGGTTCATCTTGGACTTGGGGTTGTCCCTGTTGCGAGTGGTTAACAGAGGGCCGTTGGCGAACCGAGTGGTGAATTCAAGCCCATAATCCACATCGTCGCTGCAGCCTCCCCAACGGAATGCCTCCCTGGCCTCGTTAGAGGGCGCTTTGCCGCCGTCTTCCAGCGGCAATCGACCACATCCACATTGGGAGAGCATCCCGGAGCTGCATTCTATGGCCAAGGTTTGTGCCAAGCTGGCCGCTGACAAAGCCTGCACGAAAGCCGCTTCCCTGGTACCTGTGGAAGAAACACCAAAAATAGGTTAGGAAAACATATGATAACAAAGGTTCGCTGCTCTAACGTTAAAGTTACGATTGCAAGGTCAAAAATGACGAGATGCAACATGGTGGGAGTCAGACAAACTTTAGCCATAATGACAACCAGTCTGTAGACGTTGACGACCAGTCAGTAATGCGTCTATCAAATGTTTCCCTCCCCCCCTCCCCGCTGCCCCAGGTCCGATGTCGGGATTTGGTCACATTTTTCACGCCCCACGGTGGGGATTTTAGTAACTCAAAGCACTACACGAGATGCAATCACTAGTGCGCCCCAGGGCGTGGTCGGGGATTGTCACTTAAATTTTGCCCGAGGGGTGGGGATTTTGTCACTTCAGAATCGACAATCCCCAAGTCTTGGGTATGGCAGCCCGGGGGAGGGGTAGGGAAACAATTGATAGGCGCTGTGAGTCAAGCAGATACTATCTCACGTATTAAACAAGACTACAAGAAGATGCTATATGTCATTGCATTTGTGTACTAAAATCAATATATGTAAAAAAAGGTACTTCTTGAAACGATTGCTTCTCTTTTTAAATATCATCATGAGTAGTTTATATTTAAAGTATCAAATGTCTTGGACATTTACAGTGGGAAAAATGACGATTTTCAAAAAACGAAAATCTAAAGCACTCATGAAAATCTAAGACTCGATTCTCGAATCATCCATTTTTTCACCAACCTTTGTCGAGATCAGGAGAAAAGTTTGGTGCCGACTTGATGCTGCTACAGTTCCATCTTCGATCTTGGAATTGATCCTGGCACGTATCAAAGGTCACGGTGGTAGACTCCACCACAGCCGGCATGACGTCGAGGTTTCTCTTGCAGAGTGACTTCTGCGGCGAGACTAGCAGCTGGGAGGATTTGCAGGCCGAAGCGTTGGCCCATACCGTGTGCCGGTTTTCCTTCGTCAGAGCTCTGAAATGAAGGAATCAAAATGTTAGACATCGCACTCGTGTTTCATGACTTCCTGTAATATTCCGACCAAAGTGTTCTGAAATGTATCTTACCATAACATAGTGGTATAAAAGGTAGTTTTTCATACCGTCCGCCATTATGAGTGAGTCAGCATCTCAATCTGAGGTCTTTCTCCGCAACGGACGATCATGAAAGTTCCATCATTAGAGATACTTAGAAGCCAGTTCATAATAATAATAATATTGGCTTCTATAGCGCTCATGTCCGTCACGACGTGACGCTCCTTGGGCTGCAATATTACTTTTGCACGGCTGCCATTACGGCGCTCAAGCATTGAAGGAATTTCTTCCTACCAGGTACCCATTTACTACATCTGGGTGGAGAGAGGCAATCGTAGTAAAGTGCCTTACCCAAGAGCACAAGCACCATTTTCCCGTCAGGATTGAACTAATGTACCACGGCACACGAGTCGAACACCGTAACCGTTGGACCACAGCATAGCTATCAGCCGGGCTGATCAACTTGTAATGTTATGCAACATGACATTGTGATAAGAAGTCACATGATTATTCCAAGGCCAAAAGTCTTTCATCAGTTGGTTTTACAAAGCCACAAACTTCTTTTAATTTTTTTTGTCCGTAACTTGCACCTGTACATACCTGGAGACGATCAGAGCAAATAACGTCGAAATTTTACAACCAACTGGTTCTTTTCATAACCACACTTCTTCCCAAAAGAGATTTTCACATGGTGTCACCGCAAACTTTCATAAGTTTAACTTGTACTTTGCCAATCTTTTTTTCCAAACAAAATTATTTTATGAAGAGAGCATTCCCCCGATGTTAAAGAAGCAACAATCCTTTGTATCGGCACCGGAAATTTTGTCGTCGAAGTAATGCAAGCCTGTTGTTTTCCAACTGTCATTCAAAAATCCGGACTCCTGGGAACTATTCTCCGGTACCTTGCGTTTTATTTACACGACTGAGGCAAGGTCTTGCGGTGTTGGGATCGTGGAGGTTTCCCGTCATCAAGTGAATTGTCTCTCTGAGATGTCGCTCTGGTGGTCGTGAGGTAATTACAGAGAATGTAACGGTATAATTGCCCGTTTGACATTGGGAGTTCCATGTCATATGACATGACATGACATGGCATGACATGACATGACAGTCTTTGCCCTAGGCCCAATTTAAGGGAGCTTCTATAGGCAAACAAAATATTGCTTAGAAAATTTAAATGCAAAGTGAAAGCCCACTGAGAACAATACATAGGTGCAGCTTACTCCATGACATTTGGGTAGGTAATTATTTTGTTGAGAAATTATTTCATTTCGTTGGCAAATTTCTGTGCTACAACAGGTCAGTGAAGCTAGCTTCTGGGTTTGGAAATTCATTTGCAAGATTCAGGGTCGGCGCGACGGTCAGTAAGCAAAAGTGATGTATACAAAACTACAATTTAAAAAGAAATATGCAACATTTAAAAGTTATTTTGTTACTATTTGGCGAAGTAATAATGAAAAGCGCTATTTCCAAAAACACGACATACGCCATTTTGTTCCCTTTTAGAATCCTACTTTTATTGCTCATGCCTGCCTAAAAGCAATTTAGACGGCTCTTATATTCTTAAACACAACTTAAGAATACAATAAAGTTAGAAATGAAGTTTAGAACCAGCTGTTTTTATTCTTCAAAGTTATATTGCAAACTGTTTTCAAATTTATGTCGCGAAACTCTTCGTATCTTACATGAACGGTTTCAGAGGAATTTACATTTTTAAAAGCTTGTTAGCTGTATCAAGTTGTTCTACAGAGAGATAAAACAGTGAAAGTGCAAATCAGAAGTTTACAGCGTCTTCGAGAAGTATTTGTCCTCATTCTTCCTGTGATATGATGAAACACTAAACGTGGCACGTACACGTCCCAATTCCAACCAATACAACTGTACACATCAAGGCAAGAGTGTAACACGAATCGTCGCTATATACCAACAAATGCTTCAGGTATGGCGCTCGTTTCACGTCGATCTCTGATGGACTCTCTCCATCGATTCCAACTCTCTGCTGGATTTTCAACAACCTCATCTGCTTATTGTCACTTCTACAAGGCGGCACCTTTGCTTGGTCCCAATCCTCACCCTCTTACAAACTTCAGAGGAGGATGCCGCCAATTAGTGTCCTCCGCATTAAAATCCCAGCCAAAAAAAAAATGCAAGACATACGATCAGATTTGACTTCTTATAGAGTTTGGTGGCTTAACATGCTCCCTTCAGACTTAACTGTGGTGCCCAAGCTCAGCACCCACGGAGGCAGGGGATGGGGGGGGGGGGGTTTGTACCCCTAATGAGCTCTTGTCTGGAGACACAAGACCCTCTGTGTGGCCTGTCAGCGGGGTTTCAATTGTTGAAGGGTGGCTTTCAATGAGCTCCTTGCTAGGAGGCAGTTTGGGCAGGTGTGGCTGTGCTATCAAGCTGATTACTTCAAACCAGAGGGGGGCCTTTTGTGCTGGTTTTGAGTCAAACCCAACAATGTACTCGGGTTTTGATTTCTGAAGTGTTGTCTCCCGCGGTGTCTAACGGCTCCTGAATGCTGATCTTTTTTTCTTCTCTCTTTTCGATCCCCCAACCCAACTCAGCGTCTGCCTCTTTGAGCATAGCTCTGTAGTAACCTCAAGTAACCCTGGCAATTGCCCGTAAAAGACTCTTTAAATTTGGAAAATAATTTTTGCGACAAGTTCCTAGAAAACACCCTTAATCACTTGTTCCATGTTCACTGGTCCTGGAATTTGTTCACAATTGTTTCATGAACTGTCGTCGTAGATGGACAACTAACAAACCTTCGTTTTACCGAAGTTTGTCTCTGAAAACAATTATGACAACTTTTTGTCGGATTGTCGACAAACAACGAAAATGATATCAGCAAACGAAATCCCTAAAAGGTTGAGATTCCTTCTTTTCGTCAACACCAAATGCTGTTCCTTAAAGTAATGTACTTTGAAATCAGCATTATAAAGCAACTGTTAATACACTTTAATCTATTTATTTCAAACGCGAATCGGTGTTCCGGTCTTTGACAATTCGTTGTTTTTGGGCCACAAAACAATAATCGGGAATATCTAAAAGAAAAAGTAGGCCCCTTAATAAATTGACCGCATCGAATAAAACTGGGCTGTTGACTAAAGAATTTCCTTTAGGCCTACTGGATAATGAAGACTTGAATTAAGAATTAAAAAGGAACAAACTATGAATAGCAATAAAAAATTCACACTTTCAATTGTCCTGAACATAATAAGCTTCGATCTTTTCGACAGTGCTACTGCTGGGTATTTTTGGTTAAGGAAAAGAAATAACCAAAAACAAAATTACTTGTAAAAACTCAGTCCAACTTACATCCACTTGAGCCCGTGAGCGTTCGGAGTGCAGTGGATGAAGGCAACAAGCGCGACGGTCAAAAAGAAGCAAAAGTCCCGTCCAGACATGTCGGTATTCCTCCGTGTCATAGCTCACTTCGCTCGGTACGGTGCTCGCTGTTCGTCTGGAGCTGGCATCAATGACACGCAGTCTGGTAATCAGCCTGCTTTCGACCCGTTGAGGACATCATCTTTGTGGACTAATTAAAGATCCTCCAATTCAGAGAAAAAAAATATCATGCAACTATGCCGAGTTATTTTTCTTGGTCCATGACAACGAGTCACCGATGTTATTTCATGTGACGGCTCTCTAACGCCAATTAGGGAAGTGATGACCTAAGCTTCCCACTTCAAACCGCGGGTAAAAAGGAGGGATGAGCCCCTTAAAGATGGCCCAGAGGGCACAGACACCTAATTTGCGTGACCAGGGGAAAATGGCTCAAGAAGGGATGGCTAATTTGGGTGTCCATTCAGGGGCGGGATTGTGTCTTGGAGTTGTGTGTTTGAGAGGGTTTGTGGGAGTGAGTTGCGGCGGTCGTCAAAGAACGGGACGATGACACAATAGGTACTCTCATCAGATCACTGTCTGCTAAGTCAATCAGGCGTGCACGGTTTGGTAAGCTACCGTGTATTATCCACGGGGGGTTTATTCCTCAGATTAGGTCAACAGCTAACCTGCTAAGCACATAGGTTTGCTGAGCACGACATCCCCTGTCTTGCCACATCAACGTTCATTGACAGCGTTGCTTCACGTTCTGCACAGCTGGTATACTGCTTACAAAATCATTTTTGCTTAGCACAAAGGGATACATAAATATTTTGTACTCAGTATGTTTCCCTAAATATAGTATTCACCAAATTGCTGACGGTTTCAGATTAATGAAGGAAACTTCAAACAACTGTGATCTCATTTATAAAAAATAATACAAATCAGAAAAGAGTGCAGGAAGTTAAAAAAGGAAAACAAATAATTAATGTCTAAACAGGATCTAGGAGAACAAAATCTGCACGGACAAGGTACTTAAAATTATTTGAATGTATCCTCTCTGTCAGAGATAGTGTCATGACTGAAATCATACAAAAATAATGGTTTATGTGCAAGAGAGGAGAGCGATATTTTACATCCACACACAAAGTTCTGAGAGCGTGGCACGTGCGAGCGTGCGTTCCAAAGCATTGTGACGATGTGAGACACATGCGCAGTCGATTGACAACACTTCACAATGACGCGAAAGGAGGGAAGCGATTGGCCGAAAGTATTGACGCGCGTGGTGACGTCATAGCCGGCCTTGGAAACGGTTGATTTTGCAACAAGAACTGGGAATTTCTGCGATATTTTGTTGACAGAATACTATTAACCGTCAGAAAGTACAGCAGCTGTAGAAGAAGTCGGTGTGTAGTTATTGTGTTTTTGCTGAGTGGGAAGATCTTTTAAGGCGTATCCAGAGTCGACATGGATGCATCAACAGGTCACGATAGCACGATATTAACATTCTTGCTCCACTAATCTGGAGTACTTTCTACCATGACTTTGGGAATGTGTGATGCTGTAGATACGAAGGCTCCAGGCACCAAGGAGGCAGATAGGCCCCGTTCGGCTCTGGGCAATGCTTACGAGCGAATCCGGCAGTTCGTCCGGCCGAAGACCAAACCCAGAAATCAGATCGAACCGAAGAAGAAAGAGAAAGAAATGCAGCAGACGCAGGCTCACCCGAGAGTTACCAGGAAAAGCTCCAAAGATGGCGTGAAGTATCAAGGTCTGGCGTACGCCTGCGATAGAAAGCGACAGCTGAGAGATGAACAAGCCAAGTCCGAGTTGGCTTCCAGGAAACACCAGTCTGTGGCTACAGCCAGCCTGGCCAGCACCTCAAGACGGGGTAAGCTGCCGGTGAAACCCAGGAGGCGACGCGCTTACGCAAGAGACGTCGGCTCCGAAGATTCCACTTCGAGTGACGACAGCGATGATGATAGCATGGTGGACAACCGTGACCTGTGGTTCCTGACTGGGAGAGGGATTGAGTTGGAGAAGAAGCTCGGGGAAGGAACCTACGCACAGGTACACGCCGGCCGGCAACTGAAGCCTCCGCGCCCGGTAGCTGTTAAGATCATCTCGCTGGAGAAGACCAACCAACGATTCCGCATCAAGTTCCTACCGCGTGAGACAGAGCTGCTTCGCAAGGTGGAGCATCCTAACATCATCAGGCTGTACACGACCCTCAAGTACGACCACAAGGTATTCTTCGTGATGGAGCTAGCTCAGAGAGGAGATCTGTTGGGCTACGTCCAGAGGCATCGGGTTCTCAGCGTGCCGGTAGCTCGCACAATCTTCTCGCAGATCCTGGCGGCTATCGAATATCTCCACCAGAATGGGATCTACCATCGAGACCTCAAGTGCGAGAACATCCTGTTGGATCCGGGGCACAAGGTCAAACTGACGGATTTTGGTTTCGCCAGGGAGTGGTATGAGCCCAATCAGCTGTGCCGGACCTACTGCGGTAGTGCGGCTTATGCTTCGCCGGAGATTCTGCAAGGTTTACCGTATGAGCCGAGCACGGCCGATGTATGGAGCATGGGCATCGTTCTCTTCGTTATGGTAGGTTGCATCTCATGACATGATGTGTACTCTAATGGCATAATTATTTTGTTGAACAGGTGTATGGGCGCACCTGTTGCCGGAAAAGAAAAAGGATGTTGAAGGGAGCTCAACTGATGAGTTTAAGTAAAGTCTGTCAAGAGCCAATATGGCCGGCCCATCAGGCCAACGTTTATCTCCGGTTTCCTTGGCATGACAAAAAAACCTGAGGATATTTCTATTCCCCTGGATGCCATTAGCTGGGTTACTCTCCAGCTAATGACGGTACCAATTTGTACTCCTGGGTGGAGAGCCTGGGCAATAGGAGTGAAGTGAAGTGGCTTGCCCAAGGACACAACATATGGCCAGCAGCTGGATTCGAACCCATGACACTCTGATCATGAGTCACGAACCTTAACCACTAGGTTAGGGTTCGTGAAAAACCCAATAACGTCTTTGGGAAATTGTTTCTCCTCCACAAATTTAAATGTGAGTTGACTAAACATGGAGTACCAATAATGGTCTCAAATAATCAACAGCCCGCCCTCTGCTGTTTTTTTTTCCCTTCATTTTCTCCACAGGTGCAGGGTAAGATGCCCTTCGACGACACCAACGTGAAGCAGATGGTGTCTGTGGTTCTCCGCTATAACGTCGACTTCCTGCTGAAGCGCCCTCTATGCAGCCCGCTGAAGGCACTGATCAGGTCCGTCCTGAACCGCGACCAGTGGAATCGCGCCACCATCGGCCAGATCAGGAGAAGCGTTTGGCTGGAAGGCTCGACGAAAAACCCTTCAGCTCATTAAAATTTACAAATAAACATAACTCAATAACTTCTTTATCATAGAACACGGGAAAGAACAAAGGGGACTTGAATGTACCCCTAAAAAATCACAAGGAACCAATACCATCGGCCAAGCAATTTGCCCCTCCCGAACAGGCACAGTTTAGACGGGCACTGTATGCACTAGTCAGAAACAATAAGTGAAATTCATTTTAAAAAAAATATAATTTAGAATTTGAAGCCATTTTCACGTCGAGTCAAAAAAAAAATTGGGTTACGAATGTTTTTTTTTTCTTCCAAACTTGCATTTTCCGTATGGTAAAAATGATCTTAAGAAATCTTTTATGTGCAACGATGCGTCCTTATTGTTTTCATTAATTTTTATAAATAAATATTTGTTTTTGTCGATGCTCGCACTATTTAGTGCAAGTGATTTTTTTGGGGGGGCGGGAAAAATGAGAAAAGAAATTACAGTAAAAAAAAATGTAATATTTGTGTTCACTGATTGAATCAGTTTTGTTCAATAAACCTTGCATTTTCAACAAAGTCATAGGAATTATCATCTACATCTAGTCTTTTTTTAATTTAAATGATGAAGAACTGTTAATCGCTAAAATTCTCAATCGAAATTGAAGTTAACTTTTTTCCCTAATAACATGAAATGAACACAAAAATAGACGCACGTGACTGGGAGGCGGAGTCAGCTGATGATAAGCTGTGAAAGTTTAACAGCGCCCTCTCTAAAACGCTGGTACCCAGTTAGCAATCAGTTTGTGGTGAAAGCCGTGTTGATTTTCCTAAAAGGCGGTCCTACTAAAGCGCGTCAACAAGCGTCAACAAGCGTCAACAAGTTTTAGTAGTCGTTAAGTGCGCGTCAACAAATTTTGTATAGGCCTTTGAACAATAAAAACAGCTTTATATTGTAGAAAAAGCAATAATGAACATCTTCTGCATATCAATTACAGTTAAAATTATTTTAAAAAGTGGTTTTCCAGAGCGAAATCTTCAACGGATTTTTTCGATTTAGTATTGGCCGCCATCTTGTTTGAGATCTACGTACTACGCATGCGTAGAGTGTACCATTCACGCATAGGGGTTTCTTTACAGGAAAGTAGGAAAACTACTTTTTTTTTCAATTATAAATTATGCAAAACTTGGTCACGGTACTTGGCTAATTATTTGAAAAATATGCCTACTGACACTGTTCAGAATGTCTGCCAAAAAATCCCAATGCAAAAACCAAACGAGGTATCGCTAAGCGTATCGTATAAAGAAACCCCTATGCATGAATGGTACACTCCACGCATGCGTAGTATGTAGATCTCAAACAAGATGGCGGCCAATACTAAACCGAAAAACCCGTCGTAGATTTTGCGCTGGAAAACCACTTTTTAAGTAATTTTAACTTTAATTGATATGCAGAAGATGTTCATTATTGCCTTTTCTACCATATAAAGCTGTTTTTATTGTTCAAAGGCCTATACAAAATTTGTTGACGCGCACTTAACGACTACTTAAACTTGTTGACGCTTGTTGACGCTTGTTGACGCTTGTTGACGCGCTTTAGTAGGACCCCTAAAAGGCGCGATGGTCACCAGCGGTTTGGAAAGATTATGCATTTGATCATAGTCCGAGTAACTTGGACCCAACTTATCGCCTTTTTAAAAATTTGGACATGGTCTGGCGATAGTAGGGTCCAAGCCCATTCCGAGACCTAGACAACATAGTCACTGACAGTCCCAAAAACCAACATTTTCCAACAAAAAACATCAGATTTCACCTTCAAAACGGCCTCCAAATTACTAGATATGCCACCTGAGGTACAAGTAGACATAGATGATTAAGATGGTTGTACTTAAGTTTACTTACGATCCGGAAAAAAAGTGAAATTTTCCGTTCATTTCGGAGAGCTCCCCTCGCGATCTTGAAAACGTTAAATTTGCGATCGTGTTTAAAGTTTGAACGACGCGATTTCTTCTACATGCCCAGCGTACATTCGATGGTCCCCGTATCCCGTGTGCGATTCCGTTACCGAGCGCGCGCGATGCATCGATTATGATAATGAGTCACGTTTGTAAACACATACATGTGCATTTCGAACTGTAAAAGGGAATCAGGAACCAGCTTGAACTGGTACCCGCTATAAAAGCTGCGCTAGTTCCCGACTCCCTATTATCGTTTGAAATGCACATGTGTTTACAAACGTGATCCAGTCTACTCATTATCATAATCGATGCATCGCGCGCGCTCGGTAACGGAATCGCACTCGGGATACGGGGACCATCGAATGTACGCTGGGCATGTAGAAGAAATCGCGTCGTTCAAACTTTAAACACAATCGCAAATTTAACGTGTTCAAGATCGCGAGGGGAGCTCTCCGAAATGAACGGAAAATTTCACTTTTTTTCCGGATCGTAAGTAAGCTTCAGTACAACCATCTTAATTATCGATGTCTACTTGTACCTCAGGTGGCATATCTAGTAATTTGGAGGCCGTTTTGAAGGTGAAATCTGATGTTTTTTGTTGGAAAATGTTGGTTTTTGGGACTGTCAGTGACTGTGTTGTCTAGGTCTCGGAATGGGCTTGGACCCTACTATCGCCAGACCATGTCCAAATTTTTAAAAAGGCGATAAGTTGGGTCCAAGTTACTCGGACTAATTTGATCAATAATGATCGCCGTGTTTTCCGATGATCGCCAATCAAAAAGCTATCGAAAATGTAACATTTCACTGGTGCTGATGCTACCGTTTCTGCAGCGTTTGTTATAGATTAACTGCTGAAAGATGTCTGCGTCTGATAGCGCTCACAGGATCCAGCATACAGGGCTCGTGACACAACAGGTATGGCGATCGAGAAACTGAACCGTGAATGATTATGCACTGCACCTTTTTCGTGAGAAAATATCTTAGCTGTTTCGCCTTTTGAATAAATAAATAGCAGGGTATTCATAAAATATCGTCATAGGTCTATTATATATTAGATGTTTCAGTTTTTCATAGTTTGGCAATGATTGATGAGGGCTGCGCAGAATAAATAAGATTTTATCTGGATCAGAAAAATGTTGCTACCGCCATGACCGCAGTGTTTTATTGATTGTGAATGTGATCGTGATTGATTGTCGGCACGGTCTGTTTATATTATATTTTATTTTTTATTGGTAGAGGAGATTGCGTCACCTGTCTAGCTTGTCAGCGCGCAATATCGTGCCAACCCGCAGAGAGAAGGAATCGTTGATGGAGACATACTTTACTCTGCATATATGGCCTTCACGTGAAAGTAAGTATTTTGGTGAGGAATGTAGTCCCACTCCCAGTAAATTTGCTAATTTACTTCAAATTGTAAAATTGATGTTGAGTTTTAAACAAGAGCAACATAAACAGAACCATAAAATCCAGCTTCTGATCAGGTCAAGATTCCAACCACCTTATTCAAGGAATATTATTAGATCAACAAAGTCCAACAATGCTTCCTCACTTTTTGAGGGAAAAACCACATTATTAGTGCTTGATCCAGTTAGTTTTGAATTTGATTGGATACATCTTATTTCATTTCGTTTACTCTGCAGCTGTCTACACAAGTGAAAAGATTCACAATTCCCTTGTAAGTATTTTCATTTGATCACTGATACTTTCTGAAGGAGATTCATATTATTTAAAAAAACTTTGCTAACATTTATGGACATTGTCATAATTGTAAACAAAGATACATTGAAGGCAAAGAAGTTATGAGGAAGATGTTAGAAGTCTAGGGACTTATGAAACACTCCCTTTTTATGTCTATGCCCCCCCCCACCTCAAGAAAAAAAATTCCATAGAATTCCTGTTCCACCCAACTACCCCTCCCCAACCTAAGATGTTCCATAAACTCAGTAAAATAAGAGGAAAGATTTCCATATAAGAAGTTCACTAATTTTCTTCTGTATTGACTAACAAGCCCCTAGATAGCAATTTCATGTCATCAAAGTCAATTTGAGCAGTGAGAAAATACAAGCATTTTTTTAGAAAACACTTAAAATTTTTCAGTCCAATCTCATAGGGTTTGTACACAGGGTGTTGAGTGAACTTTGTATATGGAAATCTTTCCGACGTTTTCTTGTTTTTCAGAACCCCACCTGGCGAAGTTTCGATCTTCAGATGTCATGCCCCAACTTGGACACATCTCAGTCCAGTATCCTTTAAATATGCCAGATAGATTTTTAGAATTGTACAATCAAATAGGAAAGAATAACGAATTGAGAAAAAAAAATGTGAAAGTGACAAGATTTTTACTTTTCAAAATCACATGGACACAAAAATTGTGTTGATGAGTTGACATGGTGCCCTACACCTAAAGAGAAGAAATAAAACTGAAAGCTATTGTACATTATACATGTTTCACCCATCCTTGATATATTTTGTCAGTTTCATCTGGGTGTAATAATACATTTCTTGCAATTTGTTCACCGATATGAATTTAAAGGGAATATACATCATTTGCTTTTGCTGTAATTTTCAGAAATGGATGGAATTGGGGGGTTGGAAATATATAGCAAATATAGTTACACTGACTTTTTTGAGGTTTTGGGTTCAAAAATGCTATAAAAACAAAGAAAAACAATCATTTTCCTGTAGTCTGGTTCCCTGACTCCATTTAAGAAGAAACAGAGCAGTTTACATACATTGGGGAATTGTAAGGTCAGGGAACCAGTCTAGCTGGCTTGTACCCGTTCATAGGTGTGTAATCGATTGCAAACAAGTGCGATGGTCAACTGGGGCCAGTATTTGAAAAAAAGCCAGTTTTTTCTAACGCTGGTCGGCCGATCAGCGTTGGAAATTGATACAAAAATACCACTTTTCTTGAAAATGACAGTATACCAGATGCCATGATTTTACAGGATGCTTTACACTGTCATTCACTAACAGTCCAGCAAGGTATTTCAAAATGATTTGGTAGTTTTATTTTTTGATGTTTGCAAATGTTGTATTTTCCCTTTAAGAATGATGTGAAACATCTCAAGCACGTTTCCTTACATCTCTTGTTCTCAGCTATCTTAGTGAGGGTGTGGGGCGGACAGACGTCAGACCACAGCCTGGTTATAGAGTGGTTGGTAGACCTGAGAGGTCTGTGCTATTTAGGATCACAGGTAAGTGATATTGGAGAAACAATGTCCGGTTTTTAGTTATTTAAAACTACAACCTGTACCTGGAATTCATTTTCAACCTGTGAGGTCTAAGTGTCTTGAGGGTAAGTGGCTGCAGATCCATGATTTGTAAACTAGTAACACTTTGTTGAATAGATTGTAGTCCTGATAGGTATTTGCGACTGGTCAGTGATGTTATAGAGCAGTGCCTGGTCTGTCGTTATTCCACTGCGCCAGTGGTGGATTTCAGCGGATTTGGTCCTGAAGCACTATGTGAAGCAGACTAAGTGATTGATTTTGATGGACACTGTTTTCTACGTAGCCAAATTGAGTAGGGAGTTCGGGTTAATAGAAAATATTTGTTTTCTCTTCTTGTTAGATTCACAAAGATGGTGTACGGTACCAGCCTAATTCCATCATCTTTGGCATGTTCCAGGGCTTCTACGGGGCACCAGACAACCTACCGGTAAGTAGTAAATAAAAAGACAAAAAACAGGCAATTTATGACTTCTGCATTGACATTCAAGCTGTAAAAACAACCTGTTCCGACAGTGCCTGTTTTGCCCCAACTAGGCAAAATGGTCCCAAGTTAAGTTTGGACTGTCTCAAGTAAAGTGTTCCACGTGGAACACAAATTGGGAAGGGGACCCAACTTGGGAAGGTCCCAACTTGGGAAGGTCCCAACTTGGGAAGGTCCTTACTTGGGAATGTCCCAACTTGGGAAGGTCCCAACTTGGGAAGGTCCCAACTTGGGAAGGTCCCAACTTAAGTCGGGACCACAGTCTAGTTCGGGTATAACATATATAGTTGGACAGTGATACATGTGCTCCACCTTTCTCTACACTCATACTTGTTATGTTATATTCCTTTCTTTTTTTCAGGACTCAAAACAGATCAGAAGTGAATTCCAAGTTGCCATCGAGGTTGAACAGAGTGCTGCTATGCTGTCGTATAAAATATTTTCCTTAGGAAGGTAAGTTTGAAACTAAATGTTTTTTCTACAAATTAATTTTTTTTTTTTGGTGGGGGGGGGGACCTGTGTTCAGTGAAGTGTTTTCAACCAATGATAACTTTTTTTTAAGTGAATGCTATTCTTTTTTTTCCTAGGTTACACACGACCCAGCGTGCAATAAGACAAACGGAGGCATCTGTTTCTAAAGTCCGAAGCTCTATCGTGGAGAAACTTACCCTAGTCAAGGACAAGACCATTCTGGTGAGGCAAATGTTCAAATTGTACAGTGAAAGTAACTCAAGAAGTTTTCAAATTAAAGGGTGGAGTGATTCGATTATTTTTGTGAATGAAATTCAAGAATCTCTTGAAAATTTCATATTGCTTAGGAAAGGAATCAATCACATGTGTAGAGTTTTAATTCATATCACAGTAATAAATAAAATTCGGTTTTAGAAAAACATAAAATTTAGAAATCTGGCACAACTCCTGTATTTTATCACAATCATTGTGTAGCAACAGGAATAACTTTTTTTCCAAAAAAGCCAGAATTAAATTGTTTAAACAGAGTTGTTCACATTTTATTTGCAGCGTTCTGAGAGGGAAGCGTTATTGCTCCGTCTGGGCGTTCTGAAATACGAACAGGAGCAGCAGGAGCAACTATTGGCCGCAGATTGCAAGAAATGCACCAAAAGTAGAGAGAGCATCGACGAAAAAGGTGGGTACGTTTTACTGAAAATCTACCCGCAGAAGATATGAGGTTAACTGCCTTTTGGATCTGCAAGACAAGTACTCAAATAGTTTCCTCAAAACAGGCTGTTGGGAAGGTTATCTGAAATACGTCAGAGTAAGGATGATTACTCATGTTGAGTTGACTACTTTCCTTGCAGTCCAAGACCTCCGGTTAAGACGAGAGAGACTACGGAGCGGGATAGATGAGCTCAAAGAGCAAAATCAAGACTATCAGGAGAAGAAGTAAGTTGGAAAATAATAGAAAGAATCATGTCAAAAGTTTTTTTTAGACTCCATTTAAAAAACAGCCTTGATGCAACCACATTGTCTCTGACAGGGAAGTATGAGAAATGAGCCGACTGTATATATGTTTACTTTTTTTAGGGAACAGCTCCAGAAGCTAGCAGCCAAGTACACGGCTCGCAAGACGACACTGCTCGGGGAACTGTCCGATATATACCCAGTAGTGGAGCAGGCAAACCACGAGTACACAATCCTTGGCATCAAGCTTCCAAATGCCGAGCGCTACTCCGGTAAGATAATGGAGTCTTTAACCCATCAACCCATTGATGTACCCATTTGTACCCAGTGATCACATTCACATATGAAGGCCTGCACCCGTTTGTACCCATTCTTAAACTGTGTGCGCCTATCTGCAGGCACTGATGACATGGTGTTTTTGACTGGGCGTGGACACACCTGCCACCTGATGTTGATGATGGGAGACATAGGAAACCCATCAATCCATTGATGTACCCGTTTGTACCTAGTAATCACATTCATATATAAAGGTCTGCACCCATTTATACCCATTTGTCACTGTGTGCACCCATTCGCAGGCACTGATGACATGGTGGTCTCGACCGGGCTTGGACACACCTGCCACCTGATACTGATGATGTCACAGATCCTCAAGTTGCCCCTACGCTATCCCATGGTCCACTACGGCTCACGATCGCTCGTCAGGGACCACATTACAGAGTCACTAGCCGAGAAGGACAGAGAGTGAGTTTGGAATTTTGTTTCAGTTTGCTTTCTCGTCACTATGGCTTGCATTGCTGTACATCCAAACAGCAGAAAATCATCTATGTGGTATTCAGTATTTAAGTTGAGTAAGTTGAACACCCATTCATTGCATTTCCAAATCTCGCACCAATTTTCTCCAATTCACAGTTTCCCACTGTACAGTCGGGGCAAAGAACGCTTCCAATTCAACTACGCCCTGTACCTCCTGAACCGCAACATAGCCCAGCTCCGGTTCGCCATGGGGCTACAGACCACGGACCTCCGGGCGACCCTGCCCAACCTCAAGACACTGTTGGAACTCAAGTGGGGAATTAAAAAGTGAGTGTGGATACGTTTAGAGGTGTTAATTGTCCAAGGAGTTGTAAAAAAAATGATAGAAAATAGTTCTTAATATAAATAGAATGGCTAAATATGACAGTAAAAAATTACTGCCAATTTCATATTGCAAGAACTGAAATTGAAATTTTGTTTGGTATCAATCATTTTTCTTTTTTAACTTATATTTTTTCCCACCAGCAACACTGTCAGCACTATATACCAGGCTCCGAGAAGTCTCCAACAGCCTGACCAATCGGTGGCCTCCTATCAACAGCAGCAACAACAGCTACATCAAAGGCCGTCACTGATTCGCAGTACCACATCTCCACCGGGCGTGGCTCCATACCCAGTACAACCACCGCCAGTCTACAGCCAGGTTGACTTGCCACACCCGCCCCAGGTAGACGCCCGTCCCCCTCCTCCCTATCAATCCGTGGAGGTCACCGAGACCCCACCTCTGAGCCCCTACGTGGAGCAGAACAGTCCATTTGAGGATCTCACCCCAGAGACCGAGTCGCCCATGCCTGTCCCCACGGCACCCATTGCAATCCCGAGCGTCGACATCGCTGCCAAAGCCATCGAGGCCAGGCAAACAATGGCTGATCAACCTGACAGTGAAGAAAGGATTGGACAAACAACTGCTGTGATTGAAACACAAGTTGCAAGCCTTTCCTTGGAAGACACTCTAAGTGATCCAAGGAGCACGGAAACTCTTCGGCCTAGCATGGAGTATCGGGACAGGGACAGCACCTGGCCGTCTGATTTCGTCGTGGTGAACAGTGATTGCGAGACTCTCCAAACTGAACCAGTTGCTGTCCAGCAAATTGAAAGTGACGATCAGCAATGCAGCTTGTCATCAGAAGTCAGGAAAGAGGAACCTAACTCTCAACAGAATCCACTGCAGGAGAGGCCTCTCAGGACTTTGGTACCAGACTTGGAACCTCAGCAGGTCCAGGAATCTTTAAACTTGCCAGAGTTTGCGCCATCAGGCCAGCTTGATAAATCTGAACAGCCTGAGCCAGCAGCATCAGAAGCAGAAGCAGAGCCGGTCGCCAGATCATCAGCAACCAACGACAGACAAGCTTCTGCGGCAAACACCAACAACCATCACAACTCCAGATCAGAACCCAAACAAATCTCACTTCTTCCCGATACCACGTCAGAACCGACCCAGTCTCACTCATCGACAGCCAAAGAGACCTCTGCGCAAAGTCCGCTACAGCTTGCCACCCCCCAAGAATCGCAACCCTCTGTTGCCGCATCTCATTCCGCTTATCACCATAGCAACACATCAGTACCAAATCTGGACAAAGTAGAGCCCGTTGGGGCACCAAAGCCAAACCTTATACAATCAGCAGACAAAAGTTTGTTCAGCGATGATGTCTCGTTACCGAGGCGATCCGACGCAGTCGGCATTCCACCCAGGGAAAGCAACGACACGACTGTTTCCATGGACACCGATGCGGGGTACCAGTTCCACGATCTTGGTAGCCGGGCCGAGGCCCTCTCGCGACAAGACAGCTTTTCTAGTTTCAAGAAAGTCTCCACCAGTCCCAATAAGGGACGCAAGTCAGGAAAGCGACAAATGATGGAGTCGTGATAGATGATTGACTCAGTTCGAAAAAAGGATTTTAGAGGGACTGTGGAAACCTTTCATTTTTATAACTGATCAAAACAAAAACACTCTTTCCACGGGAATAAATCCTGTGAATCCAAAGTGAGGATCAGGTGTTGTCATGAATAGTAAAATATTGTACCTTGGCCCTGAATTCAGTATCACATTCCTGATTTCTTCAGCTAAACAAAAACCTGCTAGTAAAAACTATACAAAAAAGTGTAATCATTAGAAAGCTATTTTGCTGTTTTATTCGAAAATAAGTGACAGCTATTAAGGTTTATTTTAACCAATGATAATTTTTATCATACACAGTGGCGTAAATCTGTGCCATTGAGCAAAAATTGCCCAGTCATGGAAATTCGCAAGTGGGGCACCACGCGACACTAGGGGGCGCCGTTTATGATACAAATGTACATCTTTTGCTAATTGGTGCGCTTAAAATACATCAAGGCGGTGCATTTAAAGATTTTGTGGTTTTCTCCATTTTTCAGTGCTATTTGATACATTAGGGTTTTTGGAAAGTTAACCTTAAAATCTGCATTTTTTGTTTCTCATCGCAAATTCGGGGGAGGGGGCAGGGATGATCGAATCGCCCATCCCCCCGTCAAAAGTTTGGAGGGATAAATCCTTGCCACCCCCCCCCCTCCCCGGGATTTACGCCCATGATTATATCAATAGATTTGATTATACTGACATTTGCATATTTTAACAGATAAAAATAATCAATTTTCCCTTCATATTATGAAAGCATAGTGTACAGTTCCCACATATCTCTTAAATTAATATGGTTTCAGATGATGAAGTCATGATATTCTATTTCTAACCACCACGAATTGAATTTCACTTTGAAAAAGCAAAAATCTTATATTTGCATTTTATGCGCACTTTATGTGCACTACATGTACACACATGTACTAGAATTAGTTGAATTGCAGCATAGCAAAGTGCAATTTGTAAACTCCAAATTGGAATGTTTTGTTGTAATTTTACGTTACATTATATCCTTTTATTGATATCTGAATGTGTGCATACATACGGGATGCCTTTTATTTCTCTCGGACATGAACTGTAGGCATTACTTTTTTGTAACTGGGCCAACTGTCAAGTTATCCGGTGTGCTTGCCCGTTACTTGAACCTAGACAATTTGCAACAAAAATTCGCAAAATTGCTGCGTGTTGAACGTCTATGTTTAAAAGGCATTACGCACTTTAAAAGGTGGTCAAATATTCCAATAGTTTCTTTAATAAGAATTGTTTGGAAGCATTTGGGCTAATTTATACTTTATTGATGATCTCTTTCTGGAAAAGACAGCCTTCCATAATTTTGCATATTTTTGCATAATGTTACAGTTGTCCAACCCCTACCGCTGTTTTATGTGTAACTAACCAAAAAACCTAATTTCATAATTCGAACCAATTGGACCTCTTGAATCATAACTATACTGTCGGAAAATATAAGATTTGTATATATTTACACTTTTTGTCTGTCGTTATCACCTGTTCTTGAACAGTCGTAATGACTAATCATGAATTAAGACAATTAACCGTTTACAGTTAATTTTTCCACGCTTTTGAACTGTCATAAATCTCATGAAATACTGTTCGTAACATATGTCCACCCTATGAAAATCCTGTATGTTGTAGGTGTGCTTGTAGCATTTTTAAATACTGATGCGCGATGAACAAGTTCTGCTGGTTCTTAAGTCGAGAATAATTTTGTAGTATACTACTTTATGAATGGAAAACAATCATGTTTATAGACAATGTTTGTTGCTTAATTAGCACAGGAATAACCAAGGACATTTCCAAGCATTTTCATGTTTAAATCGGACTTTGGACGTTTCTAATTGTGCAGCTTTTTTCCTCAAGATGCACTTAAAGAGGTCAGGTTTTCTGAAACCTCTTTTGGGTAACTACATGTATAAGGTGAAATCTTTCTGCAAAATTCCGCTGCTTTTCATGATGTAAAAACTTGATGATTCTAGAAACAAATTTTGTGAGGACTTCATGTTATTCTTCATGTCTCATGATCACGTTTTATTTTCCAATGTGTAAGACAACTAAAATTGCAAGTTTTGTACATTTGTATAACAGACATCTTGAACCGGAACATTTTACAAATTGTAAAATCTTGGTGTAGTTCAGCTCGTGGAATGTAGCACATATGTGAAATACACATCGAAAAATCTAATTTTATTTTAGACCCGAAAATAAAAAATCTGATGAATAATATATTACCAAGTTTCAAAATTGGTGTGAATTTATTTCAAGTGTTTATGATAATCTGTTGCATCAAGTGCTAATCAAATCTGAGAAAAAAATGGTTATGGTAATATGTACTGCTGAAGGACACAAGCATGAAGATCCTTAGATTGCCCCTTTATAAATAAATGTGCTATAGCAATCTCAACTTCTCAGCTACTTCAACTTTATCGAGGTTGTGTCCAAAAACCCAATGGTTAAATCAATGTCGTAGCCACAAAGGCCACATGAAAAGGAGGCTTTAATGCCAAGTCCACAATCTGAACCCAATATCACCCTCCAGTGCATGTGCTCTGGCTTTATGCATCCTTGCCGTCAACACACATTCTGATCTCTCCATCTTGTTGTTTTCCTTGACTGCAAAGATTCTTGTGCTTGAACCCATGCTTTGTAGGATCAGAATCCTCATCCAACCATCTTGTACTGCTTCAATCTTTAAACCTCTTGCTCTTTCTCCCCTCAGTGGATGAGTTCTGCTTTCTCCTGCTACTTTATGCATTCTAGTTTCATCCATCCTCCTCGTATGCATGGCTTCTCCATAATTTTACCATCCCTTCTGATGCGGACAGCAAGCAAACCTCTTTAGGGTGGAAGGATAGAGAATGCACCGTGTCCTTGCCAGCCTTCTCAATAGTTGTCACCATTGAACCCTAGAATTCAAGGAAGATTAAGATCGGAATAGGATGGGATTAAAGTTATTCACAAAATCTATATGTATAATAGAAGTCATAGAGTACGTATCAAAGAAGCCATCCAAATTAGATTTCCTACAAAAAGACTGAGCAGCACTGCGAACGGTACACAGACATCTATTTCTTTACAACAACCTGAAAGTTAAATTGTTTTTGTGGATGTTCAGTTCTGGGATGCGGTTGCCATAGCAACTCCCTGACAACATCAGTAATGCCTCACCTCCACCAAATCCCAGAAGTATATCGTCCCGTCCTCCGACCCACTGACCACGTGGCTGTCGTCATTGTTCATACAGCTGGCCACTCTGTACTGACCGTTGTGGTGACCGGCGTATTCGCCAAGGAGCTCCCCGCTGTCTTTGTCCAGTAGACGGATCCTGTTGTCCAGGGACGATACCAGCGTGCACTGGCCGTCTTTGGTGAAGTTAATGCAGGTTGCTGGATCTGTCAAGGAACGCAGGAATGATTCAAGCTTTATTAAAAATTGGGAGTCAGTGGATGTTGGTATGTGCTGTTCCAGTTATCAGTCTCCCTCCCGCTGGAAATCATTGATATTGTGTCGTTGTTATCAAAGAGGAATCACGCCCCTCAATCCTCCAAAATCCTTTAAACTTTTCTCCGCAAACGTTGGTCAGAAAAAAAGGTAAAACATGACGGATAAAAATCAGCTACTCACGCCCGATACAATCAGTGTGCAGTCTTCCATTACGCAGGTCATACCTCCGGACATAACCATCAACAGATGCAGTGAGAATCTCAAAGTCAGACACGGCGATAGATGACACAGCATCTTTGGCTTCATCCAAGATCTGAATAGGGTCAAACTTCTTAGACCGACAATCCCAAATTCTGACTGTCGCGTCAATTGATCCTGTTTCAGAGGGTGAAAAATTCAAGAAAACATTTGTATAAAATACAATAAATAACTGTTTCTATTTTAAATTTGAATTCAAATAACAAAATTAGGAAAAAATGTTGCAATCTGATGTCACTTCAGTGGTTGTGTACAAAATACTAGTACAAAGTCTATGGTGAGTCAAGAAAGTTTGTAAGTATTTCCTAACAAAATTGGAAATGTTTCTAAGTCCAAGATTCATCATGTTCATCATGTCTTATAAATATCATCATTTTTGCAATGACTGACCTTGCTTTATTAAAGTTTATAATTGAGATGATAGGCCTAGATTTGATTGAAGGAAAAAGTAGCGTCAGGTTGCAAATTTTTTTCCCAAAATAACATCATAATAATATTGGGTTGTTTGTTTATATTTAAAATTAAGACTTTTAATCAAACCAAAACAAAATGTTTTCTTCAAGTTAACCCCCCCCCCTTTTTTTTACCGGACAAAACCACAGACGAGTCTTCGTTGAAACAAACACAGTCCACTTTCCCCGCATGCCCCCTGAACCTCCTCAGCGTTTGCCCCGTGGCAACATCCCACAACATGACCGCCTTGTCAGCACCGCAAGACACTAGCTGGGAGTTGTCCAAAGACGCCCGGGCGTCCAGCACATCGTACCCGTGCGCCGTGTAGGTCTTCAGCAGCAAGTTGCGGTGTGGGTTCCACAATTTCAGCGACTTGTCACTGCCACATGTCAGGCAATAGTTCCCGTCTCCATTGAAAGAGACCGATCTTACTGCGCCCTGTTTACACTCCAAGGTCTTGTGGAGCTTGAGGGGCAGCTTTTCCCCCATTTTGACGCCAATATTCCTTCACAAAACATGAAAAACAAGAGACGTTTCGATTCACTGCACTGCTGCCAGAACTCACTTTTGTTACTTTTTTGAGTGCTCAAACTAGACTGTGCGTTTTGTTAGTCACCAGCCTGACGCATTTGAACACGAGCAGTGCGAGAGCTTTTAATTTGGGAACTAGACCTGTGTACCCGACGACTATTTGACTTTCAGCATGTGAACAGTAAACTGCCGTAGAGTAATAACTTCGAGGGAACTACGGGGGAGGGGCGGTAAAGGGGGATCGGGGGGGGGGGGACTTGTCGAAGGTTAAGATGTAAAAAACATCAAATTGAGTTAAATGTATCAAAGAATGTGTAATTGTAATGCCCCACAATTTTCCCACTCAGTAATTGTAGTAATTGTCCCATCAGTCCCTGATGTAGGCATAATTAAATGATACCGATTGATTTTTTTGAGGGGTTAAGGTTCTATCTTTTTAAAATTAATCTTTTGAAGGCCGCTGGTTGGATCGATTTATAAAAGAAGGATTTTTTTTTATAATACATGTACCCCTGTCATTTATACGTGTCATAAAAGTGAAGGTACATGTTTATAAATATCTCTTCATATAGCGATCCTTCCATCTCGAGTGTTTGACAATTAAATATAGTTCCTTTAACAATAATAATTGTTTATAAAACAGATCTTTGTACTAAAATTATGTTGTCAATCACCAACTTTTTCTTTATGAATGGTGTCGTGACAACATCGTCTGTCATTGGTTCAAGAAAACTCATACGTGGTCCAATCAAAAGACCCGATTCCTGTCCACATTTCCAAGATGGCGGCCTCCACTGGGGTGAGTTTTCACCGATTGATGCATTATTTTCACGTCTATTTTGAACATTTTTAGGTTATAAACAATAGAAAAAAATGTAGGTATGTTAGTTCCTAACACGTTTACCATGACGTGTTGATCTAAAGTGATGGATGGAGGCATATGGCTTGGCAAAATACGTTTGTAATTATTTTCTTGGTTTGTCCGCTGTCGTGTCGCTGAGCTGTTTCATTACACACGATCGGCGTAGGCGCACCGGCGTGGGGGGGGGGGGGGGGGGGGGGGTTCAGTACGCTGGATTGAGGAGAACGGCGAATTCCTCTGTGAATGTGATTACAGTTATCAAATGAACAATAACTATATATGTATTTTTTTGTTCCATTGTATTGTTCCATTGTCATGATTGTGCGTATTGAAACAATTTTTCCCGGCATAGTTAAGAATCGTTATAAAAAAATAAGACACTTTGATTTTAATTTCAACATTTTCAAGTAAAATGTTGAAATTAAAACTGTCTATTTGTCAAGTCATGTTTGTTAACCTAAAGCACAACATGTCATTGATAGCTTTGTCGCAAATTATGATGTATTAATGAAACAGCAGTTTTATTTAGCACTGGCACTTGTACTTTTTAAGCAGATTTGAACTGCTTATTTAATTTACTTATTTTTGATTTTTCTCCTTTCATTTAACCTTCCTCCATGATATCACTGATCTGTAAACTATGAAACTAACATTAATTGAAGGAATTTTGTTTTCATTTATCAGATGGTGAGGTCAATGGTTGGTACACTTCTACTGCTAGTTGTTCTTCAAGCTTTGCATGTCACTGCCATCAAGTCAAAGCCAATCACAACGTCTCTGCAAGCTAAGTGGCCGGCCACACCGCTGGTGTTGGAGGCTAGTGAGTTCCTGGCGGACAAGGGAGAGGAAAGCTTCTGGAGTTTTGTGGACTCACTGTCTGGACTTAAAGATGGGGATATCGGAGGTGAACTGATCATTTTAAAGCAACTAAACTTCTTTCAATTATCAAGAAGAACAAAGTGTTAATCACATATTTCGTGTAATCAACAGCTTGCAGTTTCAAATTCTGGGTGGTTGTTATACAAATGTGGGAGCCAACTTATCAGGAATGTACAACTGTCTGCAGCCGAAAAATCATGCTGGCCATTAGAAAATTTTGTGGCCGGCATGAGCTGAACTTTATGGTTGCAGCAATATTTCAAGCAAATGCCGTTTCGGAACTTAAAGTAATCTGTTCCGCAAAACGGACAAAGATTTAAGTTCTAAGCCAAACAGACTGGAATTTTTTTTAATCCCAACTTGACTGTATCATCTTGGTTGACGTTCTTTCAGAGACGGACGAGAGTATGTATGCCTTTGTGCTGAAGTTCGCCGGACGTCTCCTGACCGATACGGAGATGGATCTACTCAAGCTCACGCTGTCTATTCACTCCCACTCGCCTCGAATAGAAATGTTTAACCAGGTAAGACATTGCTACAAATAATTACAAAGTCAGGTAAACATAAAAAAAACTGATGTTGATTGTGAGCTGTATGAATTATGAGCTGTAGCGGGATAAACACTGCCTATGCTGTATTTTATTGAAGATAATTCTTTCGATGGTTGGTGCATATGGAAATATACACCCTATTGAAATATATCAAATCATTAATTAAGCGCACATAAGAAGAAGACATTTCTTGCATAAAACCAACCCAACAATAACTGTAGAGATGATCATTGATTATAGCAGTTGGCTTGTGAGTGAAAAGTTTTTTTCACAAGTTCTAGGCTTTCATTTCTATCACTATGTTTTATTATTTGGCTGTGACAGATTGCGAAAGACCTGCCTCCTCCCACTGGCTGTAACACCTTTGTGGACATACATGGACAGGTTACATGCTCACTGAAAGATATGGCAGAATTAATAGATTCTGCAACAGAAAGGTACACCTACGCAGTGTTAGATAGGAGCATTGATAAAACTGTTAAGTCTCTGTGTCACACTTTGCTTTATTTGTAATCATAACCGGAACAACAAGCCCCATTGAAAATAACTTTTGCTTGGCTGTTCAGACTTGTACAGTGTTGAAAGACTGGAAAACCTGAAGTTTGAGCATTAGGGGCAGTATTGGGTCAAAGACAATGGTAAAATCTCTGCAGAATCCTTGTGTTCGGCTTAGAAATAGCAGTAAAACAGGAAAATGCATGGACTTTGCATTTTGCCCTTGAACAATTATTGATTCTAAAATGGCACAGTTGATCTGACAACAGTTGTGTTTGCAACAGCTGTGCCTACAATTTCATTTCTGACAACAACGTTTGAACAGTTCAGGACTAATACTGAAGTCTTGTGCTCTCATCAACTGAATATAACATTTCCACATGCTCAATTTTGTTACAATTTTCTTCATATTTCAGGCCTAAGCCAAACATATACGCAGTCGATCACCAGTATCCCAGATCCAAGAACAACTCAGTGACAGTCGTTCTGTACGGTCACGTAGGCAACCTGAAATCACAGATGAAACATTTCCACCAACGGCTAAAAGAATTGGCTGATAGGGGCGCTGTACAGTACGTCTTGAGACATTTTGTAAAGGTAAGACCGCGTGTGGAACTGTCTTAATCATTCTTTATACCCCCTCCAAAGGGGTTATAGCACCATTCCAAGGGTAGATAGCGCCCCTCCAAGGGGGTTATAATTTTTATTCAAAATGTTTTTTGCCTTACTTTGCTTGCAGGAAAAATCTGATCAACAGATCCGGTTATCAGGCTATGGTGTAGAGCTTGCCATCAAGAGTACAGAGTACAAGGCGGTGGATGACACAGAGGTCAAAGAAGGAGACAGCCAATCACAAGACGAGGAGGACAACGCGCCGGACGAGGTCCAAGGCTTCGTCTTTTCAAAGCTCAAGTACGTTTCAAGTTGTTGTTTCAAATGAAATGATTCAAAATTGTGCTCCTTTTTTTAAATCAGGGAAAATGAAGTCTTCACTAATGACGAGGGTTAATCAGTGGCATAACTAAAGGGTAATGGGGGACACAAGACCCCATGCCCCCTCTCAGAATATGGGGCTGGCAAAAATAGGATTTTTCATTTTAATAAAATACCCATTGAGTGCCCTCTTCCAGTAAATGAGCACCCCAGGTTCCCCTTCCGAGTGCTTGCTCCCTCCATGCAAACTGGACCACAGTATCCCCTCTGGTCTTAATCCATGGCATTTTACAGTCCTTGGCCTCAGCCCCTGCTCCCTTCTCAATGTCTGAGTAGTCATTAAGCATCGGTGTGTCTAGCCAGGAAGCTGATTGACTTGATCTTGTCTTTTTCCAGAGAGCTCCATCCAGATTTAGTGGATAACCTCAACAGTTTCCGCTCCTCACTCCTCGAAAACACCAGGAAGATGGTTCCTCTTAAGGCTTGGCAACTACAAAGTAAGCTCCCTATTACTAATGGGTATAAGTTATTATTACCCCTGATAACTGAGCCCAAAATATATAGGTGCAAACAAATTATTCAAACTCAGTAACCATCTCTGCCCTCACAGGTACCCATTTCACTCCTGGGTTGGGAGAAATTGCTTTAATGACCTAGTCATTACTGGAAATACCGCTCTGTAAGAATGGTCACTTCAGCTCCCCAAATCTACCTAACTTATGAATTTCATTTTGGAGAACGTTTGTTGCTTACGATGACTTCCTTTGTGTTCTGTAGCCATTGCCTTCCAAGCTGCTCAGCGAGTGTTGTCATCGCCGACCAAAGACGCCCTGCGAGTTCTCAGGGAGATCAGTCAGAATTTCCCGCTCTTAGCGAGCTCCTTGGTCAAGACGCAGGTCAAGGATGAAGTCAAGAAGGAAATTACTGAAAACCAAAAGGTTAGAGATGTCTTAAGATCCTTAGTGTTTAACCAAAGTTTGTCATGTGTTATTTCCAGGAAATTTTCTGTTAGTCCTGAAGTCCGGAAGTTAGTCCTTAAAAAAATTGTTAAAAAATAACGAGTTCAATGGAAGCTGAGTTGATAATTAAGAAATTAATATCTCCTTGTGTTAATCTTCAGGTGTTTGAAGCAACATACGGCATTGGTGGGGGAGAAACAGTCATGATGCTGAATGGCCTAGTCATCGATACTGACGTTGCTGAACCGTTCCTGTAAGACAAACAAAAATCAGATTTTTTTAAGTGGTATCGCAAAACTCAGAACGGTTGAAACGAAGTCGTAAAGCTAATGGCGAACGTCACCATTTACATTATTTACAGTCGTCGATGTCATTTATTCACTTCTCTTTTGCATGAAGTGTGAATATTGAGCCCTAAATGAGTTTATCGTTGATGCTTTTCAATAGTATATGCCTTCTAGGGAGTTGAAGTTGCAGGAAAGATTGTTAGCCCATTGAGCAGGCTGCAGGGGTAATAATGACAATACTTGTCATATCGACCGTAGGTTGCTGGAGCTGCTGCGCTCTGAGAGTCAGATCCTCGGTGGTCTCCATTCTCTAGGAGCTAGCGGCGAGGCTGCCAGTCAGCTCATGAGGGTACAGGTAGCTTCCAAGGATAGCACCTACGCTGTGGACATCAGAGATAACAGCGTAGTGGTAAGTAGGAATTGAATACCTGAGAGAAACTAGACTACGCGAGCCTGTTCAACCCCATCGGGTATTCTTCAGGTACCGTGCTAAAATGCAACAATATCCAGCTTGACTCAAATGAGAACCCTGCTAAATGCAACAAACTGCAACAGTGGATTCTGTTGCATTGTGCAGTGAATCCAGTACACACCAACCTTGGCACCAAGCAGTTACCCTGCTAAATGCAACAATATCCAACTCAACTCAAATGAGAACTCTGCTAAATGCAACAAACTGCAACAGTTGATTTTGTTGCATTGTGCAGTGAACCCAGTGCATACCAGCCTTGGCACCAAGCAGTTACCCTACTAAATGCAACAAACTGCAACAGCGGATACTCTTGTATCGCCTTGGCACTATGAGCAGTTACCATGCTAAATGCAACAAGATGCTACAAAGCAAGGGGACTTGAGTTGCCTGCTAGATGCAACAGTATGCAACAACTTTATATTTTGGTTGCTTTCTGTTGCTGGTTCCAGAGTGCACACGGTTCTATTCCATAGATTCTGGATGGTTATTCACTGGAAGTCTTTTCATGCATCTGGTCTACATAATGGGCCGGATTTAGCCCATTCATTGCATTGCGGGGTAATCCTATACAAGAGCACTGCCCGACGCTCTTCACCAGTCTACTACAAAAGTAACTAGTGACAGTCAGTATAAGTAGTCAGTCAGTCATCAGTGAGATAGGTACGAAGATGATACTAGGCTTGCTTTCCAGAATCAACCCCCCCCCCCCAAAAAAAATCTGCAAATCTCTAACAACTATGAGTTTTTGGAGTTTGGAGTTTTTCCTTGAATATTGTGATAACTTTTTGATGATCTTATTCTGTTTTCTTCTTGTCAAGTACTTGAATGACATAGAGAAGGACGATCGCTACGCTCACTGGCCCAGCGGCATTCAGGAATTCCTGCGACCGATGTTCCCTGGGATGCTACGACAGATTAAGAAAAACGTCTTCCATCTGGTAAGGTTATAAGATTGTATACCGAGTTGCATAATTATCAACAAACAACACAGATCATGGAATTGGCCTGCTTATGGGTAAAAGAATTTTCGTATGCTTGGGTTGTAACTAGTAAGGTCCCATTTGAATCCTTCCAGGCCCTTTATTCTCCACTCGGATGTTTTTGAGAAATCCATCTGTGGGATTGGAGAAAATAGAAACCTATGGAGGTTTCAGTACAGTGAATTTAACATTTCGTACTTGCATAGTATTGGAATTAGGAGAATTTAGTGAGATTCCTAGCAAACATGACTGGGGAATTAGGATTTTATACAAGGGTAAATTCTTTGTAAATTTCGGTAAAAGTAAAAGGTAAATTTCATCAGTGAAATTTAAAGTAAAGTGTTGAGGGGGAACCTTTTAATTTGCCTCTATCGTTGCATTGAAATCATTCTTGAAATGGGCACTGATGTTTTTCCTCCCCCAGATCTTCCTGTTAGACCCCACCCAGCCCCAATCACTTCAGCTCCTGCAGCAAGCTGAGATGTTTGTCCTGAACGAGGTCCCAATCACGGTGGGCGTGGTGTTTGTCGTTAACAACGAGGACGTGGTTGACGGGCGGGACGATGCGGGCGTGGCCATGATGAGGGCGTTCAACTTTGCCATGATCGATGGCGGATTGGGCCAGGCGTTGGATTTACTCATCAAGGTATTGTCAATGGAAACCTTGCCTCTGCAGTATAGTCTTATAAAGAAGCAAAGGTTCCACATATTGCTCATGTGTTACCTCCAAGCCTGAAGAAACCTAGAGAGAGAAGAAACAATAAACAGAAAAATCTGTTTGAGAGGCAGACAGAAAACACTCTAGAATTGTGTTAAAGAGAAACCTTTAGAATTACTTAAAGACAGAAAGCTTGTTGTTTGAGGTAAGATTCGAACCTCGTTCGCAGAATTGAAAGAGGAAGAAAGTACCCACCTGACTTCCAAGCATTTGTATTTGTTCTGTGCATTTACAAAATTTGACTAAGTTCCACTGGTTTTCTCCCTTAAATCCCTCTTTTTGTTCAATTAAAAATGTAATTTAATTTTCTCATTGTTGTACATTGTTACACTTGTTTTGAGAAAATGAGTGAAATTTACAGAGCTATGTACGCCGCACACAGTTTTATTTTGGAATAGTTTTCACATTTTGACTGATTTTTTTTTTTGTGTGTGAAGATTCTGACTGCAGCTGAGGACAAGGTTGTAACCCCGGAGGATGTGTTCCAAACCTTCAACAAGATGTTCCCTGGGGAAGAGGTTGATGATATTTTTGGGTCAGGCACTGAGTATGATGATCGCAGACAGGTTGGTCATAGTTGTGAAGAGTTCTGGGTTTCTGAATTTCTTTCCTTTCATTAAACCAAGAATTTGTCAGAAGTGAGAGTGGCATTGTTTTCTCTTTTGAAGCCAGTTATTGAACATTTTCTGTAATGTTAGGTAAAACCATTCCCAAATATCTATGGGTACAGTTTCCAGAGGATTGTGGTACATGTACAAATATTAATTAAAACAAATTTCATTTTTTTCTCCATTTTTGTGTAGGATGGCAAGACTTACTTTGAAAAGACCGGCCTGGGTTCACTACCTCAGGTCATGATGAATGGTGTTCCCTTTACTCCGAAGCAGGTACGACAAAATGCTTAGCTCTCAAAATATCCAAACACCCATTAAATGTTACCTCCTTAACTCAAACACCGGCTGCTTACCGTAAGTACTGATATTCAGAGGAGTTTTAGCCAGAAAATTGACGTGTGGATGACTGATAGAATATTGTCTAGAAATTAAGAATTTTGCATAAATGTTTGAGGAACTTTTTTACTCTAACAGCTACAGCCTGACGAGTTTGAAGAAAGTGTGGTTACAGCTATTCTAGTGGCCACTCCTGACCTACAGAGGGCAGTATATAGGGTAGGTGTGGAATCCCAACGGTAAACGTGTCAGTGTTTGAACAAATCTTTTCAACAATTTTCCTAAATTCTGCAAACCCTCTAAACCACTGAGGTAGATTTTGAACGTTGTTGGAGGTTGTGAATGAATCGTTTCAACCCAAGTTTTTGAGATTTGGTTGTTTTGCATTTCATATCATAGTATTATAAGGAGGAAGAAATAGTTTAAGTCTGCTGTTCTCCACTGTTATCCTGCATTCAAAATCTTTGAGGAATGCCACAGTTCATTGACAAAATGCATACAGTACTGGCCCAGTTCGATACATCATTATATTCTTTACGTATTTGCAACATACTAAGTTGTTATAGCCATTGTAGATTCCGTGAATGTTTTTTTTATTTTCTCAGGGCAAGATTAATGATCGTACGGACCTGTTGGACTATCTGATGTCACAACCCAACGTGATGCCGCGCCTCAATCCTAGAATCCTGGCAGACGATACCAGACTGCTTGACCTGACGGCACAACCAGGTAGTGTTTTGCTCTGAGCTTTTGTATATAAAAAGCCATCCGGGCATGCTATCACTTTGAGTTGGTTATCAAGTGTCTCTTATACGGTTTTGTTTTTGTAACACCATTGCTTCAATCGTGTGTCGTGTGTTTTTTTTATTTCTGGATAGGTGATTTGCCCTCTCTGAGTCTGTCTGTGTTCCAAGGCCTGAGTACAGATGACAAGAAGGCAGCTATTGCTAACACCATGAAATACCTCACCAAGAAAGGTAAATTTAAAACAAACTTCTTGTCACCTGATGCATTTGGAGAAAGCAAAGTTTCATCAACGGGAAATGTGAAAGTGTACCCAGCAAATTTCAAGACATCTTGGATAAAATTATAAGCACGTTCCTGGGTTTTCGCAATTGGTTCAGAGAAACAAACGTATCAAAAGTGATATTGAAGCAAATTTTGTTTAGTATTTGGGTCTTCAAGTGACAAGAATGAAGGTTTTCTAACTCCATTCATTTTCACTGCACACATTTTTTAGGAACGTACACTATTCAATTCAATTCAAACTCACATTTATTTCCACACCAAATGAGAAATATAAGCAGAGAATACATGAATAAGTAACATGACAAAAAAAAGAAGATTTATTCTGCTGTGAAATTTTTCAATTTTGTTTTTGGACATTGTCATAACAGGCTTCTTCTTGTGCTGTCACTTTCTTACACTTTCTTTACAGATGATACAAGCCTACGTCCGGTAAGCATGTGGGTCGTGTGCGACTTGGAAACAACCGAGGGCAGGCTTCTGCTTAGCAACGCTCTCAAGTACATGGTGAGAAAATGACACTTTGTTCTTAAAAAGTTGTAGTTGTTTCCATCTATAGAACTATAGGCATCTTTCAGTCAAACAAGCTTTTGTAATACTCCTTAAAAAACTGCTATAATTTACCAACTGTTGAGTCCTTTTAATAACAGAAAACATCCAATACTATTCGTATTGGGGTCATCTCCAACATGGATGGTTCAAGCAACGGCCAGCAGTGGTTAGCTAGGGCCGTCCATGCAGCACAGCAGACGCAGACCAGGAATCACGCCAAGAACTTCATCAATAAGCTGATCAGAGAGGAGAACTACAAGGGCATTGAGCGAGGAGATACCAAGGTGGAAGATTATGAAGTCCATGTAAGTGTGCGATAATCACAAGTCAATCATAAGACAATCACAAGTCCATCACAAGTCGATCATAAGTCAAGCACAAGTCAATCATAAGACAATCACAAGTCAATCACATGCCAATCACAAGTCAATCACATGTCAATCAAAAGTTAATCACAAATCTAATCACAAGTCAATCACATGTCAATCAAAAGTCAATCACATGTCAATCACGAGTCAATCACTATCCAGTCACTAGTCAATCACAGTTAAATTGAATATTTTGTTGACTCTTTAATCATCTGGTTGACACTGTTTTCTTGTATTATTTTCAGGGCATGGATTTGGGTGCTTTCAAGAAGTCTTACGAGGAGACTGAGTTTCTCAAGGTCCACAGGTTGTTCAGTGATAAAGTTCTTCATCTTGTGCCTGGCCAGAGAGCTGTGATTGCTAATGGAAGGGTAAGAAATTAAGAAGGTAACACAACCCAGCCCAACCCAGTCGAGCCCAACCCATTCAAACCCAAATCAACCCATTCAAACCCAGCTCTACCCAACTCCACCCAACCAAATCCAGTCCAGCCCATTCAAACCCAACCCAACACAACCCAACCCAGCCCAACCTAATCTTAACTTCTTAAAAAAAAAAACCCAACCCAATCCAGCCCAGTCCAACCCAGCCCAGTCCAACCCAGCCTACCCCAATCCAAGCTAATCTTAACTTCTTTAAAAACAATTCAAATTGTTTGTCTTTGAAACCACATTTAGCTGATGATATTCTCATTGTCAGGTCTTTGGTCCACTATCAGAAGATGAAGCGTTCACAGAAGACGACTTTTCTCTGGCTGAAAAATTGATATTGCAGACATCGGCAGCCAACGTCAAGAAAAAGGTAAAGTCCATGAAATTAATTGAAAAGCAATGTGTAAGTTTTTTATGTAAACAAATGTTTCTGTGTACTAAGGAACTTCATAAAATGGCCTCCACATTCCAGCCTTCTCTGGGACTTGGTCAAAAGTGTTCTCATAGATTTCTCGACGTCTCCCAAACTGGCTGAAAAGTAAAAGTAGAAGTTTTTCTTCTGAAGCCTACTGTTTGTTGGTCTATCTGTTTGTTCAGTTGGACAAGCTTGCCTCCCACTTTGCCAGCACCGGTGATTCCTTGAGCGACCTGGCGCTGAAGGTCGATGCCTTGCTAGCCTCCAACTCCAGGCAGGAAGGTCGCAAAGAGGTCAGCTTCTGGAAGGACAAACACAGGTAAGCCTTGAGGACAAGACTAATAATAATACAAGATCAAATATGGTCGGATTGTATTTTTCAGAATAATCTGATGAGAAGCACAGGTAGTCCTACACAAAAGACTTTTAAATTGACCAGGATTTGGTTGCTTTACTGGCAAAGGAATTAACCAACTTTAAACTCTTTTTGAAATGTTGTGCTTAGAATTTTGACGCTACCAGGACATGACCTTTATAGACCTGTGGACTACTGTATACTCCTACATTTGCGGACTCCCGTTTTGTCAGTGACCTTATTCCAATTTTTTTTTTTTCTTCTTGCCAGCGTGATAGACATCGCTCCCCGTGACCCGTCCAAGCCGTCCTTTGACATCGTAGCGATTCTAGACCCGCTCAGCTCCCAGGCTCAGAAGTGGAGTCACATCCTGGGAGTCTTGACAGACGTCATCAACGTCAGGATCAAGGTCTTCATGAATCCTAAGGACAAGCTGTCTGAGATGCCACTCAAAAGGTGAGTATAACAGTGACGGAGTCATGAATATTCATGGCTTGGTGGTTTTATGAATATTTATATCACTGTTCACATTAAATCACAATCACCATAATGAATATTTATATCTGCCTATTTTGCCCTTGGTATTACAGGACCTATCTGATTAAAAAAAATTGCAGTCTTGCTGGCTGTGTTGGGCATAATCCTTATAAAGTTAAATCATGAATATTTATAGATTTGGTAATTCTTAAAAAGAGAAGGAACGCAACAACTATTGATTATTACAACGATAAAGTGGAACTTGAAAATTAACAATCTTAGTCTTTGCTTGCTGCAGTTAAATTAGAGACCATGCTTATTGACATACTTTTTTGTGTGGTGGAATTTTATTTTTAAGGTTTCAATTCATCTTTGTTCTTTTGCAGATTTTATCGTTATGTTTTGGAACCGGAGTTAACTTTCAGGGTAGATAGCAGGTAAGTCAAAAGATCTGTAAATAGTCCACGAAAAAAGGGAAAAGTGATCATGGAATTTTTCAAGGTGGGTGCACTGTGTAGTGACCTGCCAGTTTTGTTTGACATCGTAATGTGATTTATAGCCATAATCGTTTTTCTTAAAGCTGTTTAAATATGGGCTAAACATAGGAAAGGGTAGTGGTTGTTGTTTTCCTTATAGCATAAAAGTTTTTTTTGTGACTGTAGATTATTGTACTTTACTGTTCAAATCCACAGTAGACCCTGTACAAGTTTTTCTTAAGAAATTTGTTTTTCTCTCTTTACAGTTTGACGGCAGGACCCTATGCCAAGTTCAGTGACATGCCCCCTGACACCCTGCTGACCCTTAACCTTTTGACCCCAGAGAGCTGGATGGTAGAACCGGTCCGGACCGCCCATGACCTGGATAACATCAAACTCAGTGAGGTACAAACATTTGGTGATGTTTGTGAGTTTCAAAATTAGAATCCACACGTCTTGAAGAACTTGGGCAAATGATACAAAACCATTGCCAGCTAGCTTTTGCCATAATGTCTCTCCGAAAATCGAAGACGCAGATTTCTTAAAACCTTTGTCTACTTTTCTCCTTTGACAGTCGGAGTCTGGTATCCACGGTCAGTATGAGTTGGAGTACCTCCTAGTTGAGGGTCACTGCTTTGATCAAGCCAGCGGTCAACCACCCAGAGGTTTACAGTTCACGCTGGGAAACAAGCAGGATCCGGTTACCCAAGATACCATCGTCATGGCCAACCTGGTAAGAAGAAAACAGAAATCATACAAAATCTGGGGCCACTTTTAACAGAGCAGCTATTCAAATCCTGCCATACGTTGTGTCCTTGGGCAAGCCACTTCACCCCACTTGCCTCTCTCCACCAAATGGGTACGGACATTAGCTTGGTAGTAACCAGGCGGTGTCATGGCCTAGCGGTTAAGAACACCGGACTCATGCTCTGTTCAGAGGCAACAGTAGCGTGGGTTCGAGCCCGCCAGACGGACACTTGTGGCCTTGAGCAAGCTTCGTCATTCAGATGGGATGTAAAGCCGTAGGTCTTGGTAAACCTGCCCAAGGCACACAATAATCCTTCTCGATGGAAGTGCATCCCATCACATTTGTACCCAAGTACAAACCATCAGATGTCTCTCATGAATTTAACCGCCATGTTTTTATTTCATCTTTGACAGGGATATTTTCAGTTGAAGGCCAACCCAGGGGCCTGGCTTCTGAATCTAAGGCACGGCAGATCAGCGGATATCTACCAAGTCACTGGGTAAGTAAATAAATCAGGACATCATAGAGTTATATTAAATCAACATGATATATAAAAGCTGCTTAGTATATTGGTAAAATGTTTCCAAAATGGACTCAGGGAGGGGGAGGGGGCAAGGGGGGGGGTCGGGGTGGATGAAATGATAGTAAATAAATAACTGTTGATATCAGGGATTTTTTTTCAAGCAATGTTGTACTTGATTTGTTTTTCTTCATTGACAGTCATGAAGGCACGGACTCACTTCCTGGTGTAGATGACACAATCATTACAATGGACAGCTTCAAAAGCAAGATCATCAAAATTAAGGTGAGCTCTCCTTCGATTGTGTCATTATGGTTAGAAATTACCTTTCAACAATCTCTTTTTTTGTTGTTGGTTTTCTTACATCGTTAATTTTACTTTTAAGTTTTTATTCAAATTTTTGTTTTTATGCAAAGGTGACCAAGAAGCCGGGCAAAGAAGATGAGAGTTTATTGGCCGACTCCCAGAACGACAAAAGGGTCGCAGGTGGAATCTGGGACTCTTTATCTAGGTGAGCGGGGCCATAAATTGGCTAACTATTGATAAATATAGCAAGTGAAAATATAACATACGCAGCAACTTTCTGGTTGAGTTTCTGTGTGTAAAATCCCACACAAGGGGCTAGTGGGGCCTCGGCCAGCACTGACGTGACAAACTATATCTTGAGTTATAGGTATGTTGTGAGTGGATAGATAGCTGGAAAGTGTGGCTATATCATCCAACAAGTTTGAAGTCCTTGGACCATAATATTCCTAAGGAAAATTGGACATACCCAGCAACTCTCTGCCAAGTTTCTGTCTGTGTGCGAAACGATGGGCTTTCACTGGGGACTTGGCCCATGCTGACTTGACCTTGTTGTTTGTTTTCTGGTCATTTTATTGGCTGACATCTAATCATGTCACAGTATGTTGTCCAGTCTGACAGGGTCTGGTGGCAAAGATGGCGACAATGGTCAAGACGAGACGGTGAACATCTTCTCCATTGCGTCGGGTCATCTCTACGAACGGTTCCTCAGGTAGGTCAAGCTTCTGACTTGGCCCTTACAAGTCCAAAAGAAGATTTGTATTTTGGACCAGAATTTAAAACAATCTTACTTCCATGAATCCCTCTTTCCTGCAATGTCTATCATGTTCTGACTTTGGGAAGTGATAGTCATGCTATAAAATCATTGACTAGATCTCAACAGGGTCTGTTAATAAAGAAAATAGTTTAAAGTGTTCGGTAGGAAACGATTCTTGATAACATTACTTTTGATTTGTAATACCAGGAATTTTGAATTTCAAAACTTTTAAGGTTGTAAGGGTTGTAAGGAAGTTGTCAAACAAACTTTTAAAATTAGTTTTGATTTTTATATGAAATTATGAATGATGTGTGTAACCTTTTTTTTTTCTTTTGTTTTGTTTTAGGATCATGATGTTGAGTGTCCTGAAACATACCAAGTCGCCTGTGAAGTTCTGGTTTCTGAAGAACTATCTGTCTCCCACCTTTAAGGTAAGTAGCTCAGCGTCAGGATAAAATGTCAAGGCAGGACGAATAATGTGTTCCCTTATATCCAGTGCAACGATGCAAGCATGTCAGGTTTGGAGTCACTGTCTGAAAAGTCTTGGGATCTGTAAATTTGATATTGAAAAAACTTGGTTTTGTAATGCAAAAACAAGAATTGAATTTGTAATGGAATAATCATGGATTTGTAAATGGAAAGCTTTTAGATTTTTGAAGGGATCCTGTGTTTTTCTGTTCTTTAGGAGTTTATACCCCACATGGCAGCAGAGTATGGCTTTGAGTACGAGTTGGTGCAGTATAAATGGCCACGATGGCTCCATCAACAGACTGAGAAACAACGACTCATCTGGGGGTAAGATTATCAAAATGTCAAGCAAATTTTGTTATGTTCTTAGGTAAGCTAGGAATATAGGTCAGCAAATTTGTAAGCTAAGCACAAATTAACTGAGGCCCAACACAGTGACTAGTGTCCTGTGTCTCAAGTCATGGACCTGCGTTAATACTGTGCAGGAAAAATGGCCTAAACTACTAGAAAATTCCCTGCAAAGTGTATTTTACGGTTTGGCAAGACATTTTGGCTTGCGCGCATGAATACATCCTGTCACTGTTAAACCATTCCTTGCGTGCGAAGTTAGCGCAGAATTTCTTAGGAATAGCTGTAAGCACTGACTCTAGTGATGGTAAGCGCAGAATTCCGTGGTTAACATAGCCATGAAATTGGGCCGTTTCTTTTTTCTTGCAATCATCTTAAACATTTAATTGAATTTGACCCACTCCTCTTTGTCTCAGTTACAAGATCCTATTCTTGGATGTCCTCTTTCCTCTGGATGTGAAGAAGATCATCTTCGTCGACGCTGATCAGATCGTCCGGGCGGACCTGCAGGAACTGGCCAGTCTGGACCTCCAGGGGGCGCCCTACGGCTACACACCATTCTGCTCCAGTCGCACCGAGATGGACGGATTCAGGTTCTGGAATTCCGGATACTGGAAGAGCCATCTGGCAGGCCGCAGATATCACATCAGGTACAGGGAGGGTTGGAGAGTAGGGGTGGAGCTACGTGCTAAAAAGAAGGGTGGATTAGTATAAGATTAGTAGATTAGATTCGTACAAACAGAATTTGGTAAAAAACATTTTACAAGGGTCCAGTTGCATAAATCATTGCATTGATGCTGTTGCCGTCTTTCCTACAGTGCGTTGTACGTCGTCGATTTGGTGAAGTTCCGCAAGATAGCTGCAGGGGACCGGTTGAGAGGACAGTACCAGGCACTGAGTCAAGATCCGAATAGTTTATCCAATCTGGATCAAGTGAGTAGCAAGGCAGATTGTTTATGCACAACGCCAAACCAAAAACGAACATGACAAATTTATAGTTTTTTTTTTTTTAAGGTATCAAGCCTTAAAGTCTGAACACCAGTTTGAAGAATGATATAATTGTAATAGAGCATCAAATTAGGTTTTGCCTTTCACCGACGTTTAAACACTGTATACTCAGTGTGTTACCTCCCGAGTGAAAGTTGGAAAAAATCACTCGGGTGGGACTCGAACCCACGACCTCCTGCTTTCTAGTGCAGATGTCTTACCACTCGACCACCGAGCTAACGCTAATCTTGCTAACGCTAATCTTGTAATAGAGCAAAAATGTGGGCCATTCCTCAACAATGTTCGACGCCATTTTTTTAAATGTTGTCTTTCAATATATTACAATTTTTTTTTCCCTGATGGAGCCATAAGAGCCTACTGTGCTGGGGAAGTACAGGTAGTAACGGGCAGGGTGGAACAGAGCTACTTGATTCATTTCTAAAACAATGAGCATATTTTTTTCACCTCATTTTCAGGATCTTCCCAACAACATGATCCACCAGGTGGCCATCTACTCCTTGCCTCAGGAATGGCTGTGGTGTGAGACGTGGTGCAGTGATGCTCAAAAGCCAGCCGCTAAGACGATAGACTTGGTAAGGGGCGGGGCAGTTAATAGTCGAATCGGGGAGGGGGATGGGCTAGGTTGTCTTCAGGCTGGGAGAGAGGGGGGGGGGGGGAGACAATCACAGGTGTATCTAGTACCCTGAAGTTGAATACCAACTTTTATTAACATGCTTGTTTTACCTTTGCAATATATGGATGTTTAAACTTGTTTGCAGTAAATATTGGTGAAGTTATTTTAAAAATCACATGTTAACATATTGGCATCATCACCCTGATATTCTTGAACTGTCAATTGTTTGCCCTTTGTAGTGGTTGATTTTCAAAACGATAACCCGATTTCTTTTTTAAAAATGAGGACATCAGAAATATGTTTCCTATTTAAAAAGCTGAAATAGTCTTTTATTATTGTTATTGTTATTATTTGTTTTGGTAATGAAACCAAGGATTCCTCAAAAGCACCCTAGGCACTGTAGCCCGAGAGCCTGAAGAAACCTGTAGAGAGGAGACAATGAGAATAAGTTTTAGAGGTGGGAGGAAAACCCCAAAAGAATATTCTGGGAAAAACCTACAGAATCAGGCAGGGACTGAAAACCCAATCCACATATTGACCCAGGTGGGATTCGAACCCTGGTCACAGCGGTGGAAGGCGAGGAAAGTACCCCTACACCAACCTGACATGGAATATAATGGATTTATACAATATCCACCTGCTGACAGAAGAATATCTTCGCTAATTTTTGTCCTTTCAGTGTAACAACCCTCTCACCAAAGAGCCCAAACTTGTGAGTGCCGTACGCATCGTGCCCGAGTGGACAGGTTATGACAACGAGATCAAGTCGCTCCAGGAACGAGTGGCTCAGGGGTTAACAACAAACGACAGTTTACCGACGGATGAGAAGACCCAGACTACAATAGATAGGCCTTCAGGTAAGGCAATTGAGTTGATCTTAGTTTTGTTTCAGATGTTATGCGCTCTGTGCACAAGTACCTCCCTCAGTGGCCAGAAAAGGAGAGTTGCGTATTTCGAATGATCCAAAGTTATTGGGACGGGGATTAGTCTGCGAGACCATCGCAAGTTAAATTCAAACGTATTCGCGCGTTGACGACACCTGACACTCGCGCGCGAAGACGCTATTGGGTAGCTTTGTGCACATTCAGGATAAATAATTCATGCGCACTTTGCCCGCGAATCAGTACAGTACGCACACGCGGTGTCCCGTCCAAGGGCTCTCAAAAGTGGTAAAAACGCGCCCTCTTTTGTTGGAGCACAGAGACCATAATGTGAATTTTTTACAACTTTGAGACATTGAAATGAAATTGTCAGTATTCCTTTATGAAAAGAAAATCTTCTGACAAACATCTTTCAATCCAGTATTTGTTCACTTTGGACATTACTGACATAATAAGTAGAACTACTGAGAGACTTTTAAACAGTCAAACTGGTATTTTTTTTAAAAATTGATGAAAGTTTCCCTCAAATGCCTTGACATTTTTGTTAATTAATTTAAGAGTTTTCCACCAAATACTTGTTCTTGAAACACATTTACAACTGTGATCTTGCCACCAAATTAGACGATTTTGAGTTTAACTGGCCCTTTTCAGAAATTGATGAAAACTTTCCCTTCAAATGTCTTGAAATTTTGTAAATCAATCTTAGAGTATTCCACCAAATACTAGTTCTAGAAAATACACTTGTAACTGCGATTTTTCTATGAAGTTGTAAACATTTTGAGTCTTTGTGAAACTGTGAAACATGATTTTTTTTTCTAATTTTCTTTGCAGATGATCATTCTGAGTTATGATGAAGGCTTTTGTGAACCACACACTGTAAAGTAGTATTTTCCAAATCGATCAAAAGTGCTCGCACGCGATACTTCAAGGCTGCGTCTGATGCTCCTGTTTGGAGCTGTTGACTAGGTCTAGTCAATAAATGACAACATGGAGTCATGCTGACAGTGAACGTGCAAGTTGACCTCAAAAACCTGCCAGATTTTACAAGAATACAGCGCATCCGGCACCATGTATAGGATCTACAGCCTGTGTAACGTCCTATTTATTGCATTTATTTTGTGCCCTGACTGGGCCCATCCAATCAAGGGGAATAAATTGGTATTTCGAGAGAAAAGCAAGCATTTCAATTTGCAACGTATTGAAAATATTGTGAATTGATAACTATTATAAAATTAAAATTGTTGATCTCAAATTCAGTTCAATAGATCATGCAGATAACAAGTGGGTAAATTTTATACACGGGAGTCTGTGACCAGACTAGTCAGCGTTTGGTACCAAGACACGTCGTCTGGCTAGACTTGAACTCTCTATGTACATAGCTGTAGCTACGGACGCCCGTTTCGAAGATGGCATAGAAGATTAGGCCAAACAAAAAAGTCTCCAGTTTCTGGTATGCGTGCGCGTCGCCGTAGCCATGCGCGTCGGCAAAATGAAAAAGTTTTTTTTCAATGAAAGATGATGTCTCAAAACCGCCAAACTCACTGGTTTGACTGGAATCCTGCTGCTGCACAATTTTAACGTGTTTTTAGATTGGGTTATGGTCGAGAATAAGCTTTATGTGGCCTCTCTGGACTCCCATATATTTGCACTAAGTTTAGTCGGGCACCATTTTTGCAGTCATCAGCCGACATTTGAAGAAAAAAAATCAGGTTAAAAAAAAAAAAAGCTGCGTCGCCGCACCACTTTTTGGGCAAGCTCCATACCAGAAACCGGAGACTTTTTTTTTTTTTCCTTAGAAGATACACAGTAAATTCTTTTGCAACATTGAGGTTTTTCACACACGCTCAAATTTCCTTGTGACACTTTGTACTGTATATTGTATTTTTATTTCAGGTGCTTTGTTCACTAACCTAAACGGGATATTAATAAATTAACCTTCAATTTGTGCCATTGTTTTAGAGCCAGTTATGTGGAGAATATTACTATTTTGCTGTATTTATCTGAACTTTTTGTCTGTGCCAGGCTGATTTTTATGCAGTATTTGCTGGAAATGGCACCTACCAAAGTTAATTATTTGAAACAATGGTCACCATTAAATTTTGACATGTGGCAATTACGTTAAAAAAGACAACGTGATAAACCTTGACAATAGGTTTAAGTTGCAAAAACATAAACAGAGTTAGTTCAATGCAACTTGCAGAAAAAGAATTGTACTAATCGATATAGGTGATAATCATGACAAAAACTTAAAATTATATTTTTATTTAAATTTCCGTCGGGAGTGCAGCTTTAAGCAGTGCCATGCTCTTTAACCACCGTAAAAAAGCTTAAGGAAACACCAGGAACTTTTGACTTGCATCAGAATATATACAATTTTGTACAAGGAAGGCCTTAAATTAAAAACAATGGGATTTCTACCATTTAGAAGGGAAATTTGATGTTTTTTTCGGGGGGGGGGGGGGAGAGGAGATGTATTTATTGCAATTTTCATCACAAGAAACTGTTGCCTTCATCGAACTTTCAAATACGTGGTGATTTTGCTAATTCAGAGACTTTGAAAAAAACCCCAAAATTGTTGTGAACGACGCCCTCCTTTGAAGTAATATAGCGCCCTCTGTTGATGGCGCAATAATTTGAGACCCCATACATTTTGAAGAGCGCCCTCTGTTGATCATTCATATACCCGCATTTATGACTTTCCCATGCTCGTGCGAGGAAGTGTAGGCAATATTTTTTCATGCAATTCTATTTTAAGATTTTGCATTCAGAAAATATCCGATAAAAGCTCTCTTTCGTTGCATATAATATAGATTTATGGTGTTAATCAATAACTGTCTATGTGCTCTTTTTTAGCATTTTTTCCCCCCGTAAGATCCTCCGAATATAATTTTTTTTAAAGCAAAATGTTTGGGGCAAAACTTCGGATGGGACCGTGGGACATAATATTTGGGCCATTTTTCAGATGTATTTCTCATATAAAACTTGAACTCTTTACTATGTTTGTCTGTGTTTGTTTGTTTTTTATTAATGAATAAAATGTATAAATCATAACTACACGAAATAACCTCTGTCGATGATTTACCACCATCCCTGCGGTTCAGTGCTTCGGACATCCGTTAGACAACGTTCACCCACGAGAAAAAAACAACATGTTAAGGATATATCCATAAATGCATCGGGTATTCGAATAACGGAAATGGTGACAGTTGTGGTCCAGGTCAAAATAGTTGCATCAAGTTTCCATCAACACTAAGTTGACGTTGAATGCACACAGAAACAATTCCAATGATCAGATGGTTTAATTTTCAGGGATACATTGGAGTTTTCGACATGAAGACTCGGTTTATCTTAAGTACATTTTCCAAACTTTGAATTAAGCAAAAGTGTTGAGTAGGTGATTGACCTACATGTCCCTTAAACAGGTTGACCGTGGTCTACCCATATTGTTTCCAGCATCTAAGATTCCAATAGGAAAAATGACTTGCAGTGCACCGAGTTCAATACTGGCTTGCTTGTCCCATGCTCGGACTGGTTCCATGACCAGTTTGTATCCATGCAATCACGCTTGCACGCGCGTGACTACTATTTGGTTCTTCCATCCACTCAAATTGAGCACGGGAGCAAACTCCTCACACTCTGATGGTACCTGAAATCCTAAAATTCTCATTACTCCGAGTAGACTCTGATGATCATTAGTGTCTCGGGTTACCGTACGGGCAGGCTACATGCCGTCTCAAACACCAATTTAAGAAATAGATAGCCTATTCTCCCGCAAAGGTCTGCGCTAAGCTCATGGCATGTGTCTCATTTCAAAGTGGAAAATTATGTTCAGCGAGAGTCTGGAATTTTCAGATGAAAGCCAGTCACAGTTCTGAAAGGAAGTTCATCCCTACATGCTATGGTTTGAGAGACCTCGCAAATTACAATAATTTCTAGGATTTGTTTTGCTAGTTTAGAATGCGTCACCACAAAAAATAAATAAAAAATGTCAATGTCATGAAATAATTTTTGTTTCTTTTATTCGGATTCCAACCTCGTTATTAACGATTGTTGCTGTTGTTTATAAGATAGAGAAAAAAGATTTTATCTTCATTTCTGTGCAACTTTCATCCATCATTAGCGTTAAAAAGTACTTCAACGCGTTTCCTAATCGATGCTCCGCGCAAATGAGTCATACTTTTTCTTCCCCCCCCCCAGGAAAAAAATCTGTCGGCGAAGCCACCAAAACTGCGGCCGATAGCCATTCCGCTTTTCGTATTCATTTGATTCATGCATTAAAATGTACTCCCTTAATAACAGCCTTGCACATATTCCATTTAGGGCCTAGCTCATTAATATGCTGACCGTCTAAAAACCCGCGTCCGACCTGAACAGCAGATGAAATTCAATTATTATCGATTGCCGTAAATCTTCTGCATAAACGCTCAACCTAGCTACAATGAAATGTCACGAAGCGCGGTGGATGGTCCGAGCAGCTGCGCATACCGGGCATCCCGCATTCATTCCAGGCGGGGTGAATGATTACCCGGACGGTTGACAAGCATAGATGGTGCACGGTCAACGCTCTTCACCAAGTCTTTATTACAAGTTTGGTTGGAAGAACGATTGCTACACGAAAACCTTCTTTGCTATTTCTAAATCATTATTAAAAGACGAGGTTTTCATTCTTGTTCATCAAATGCATAGATTTGTACTTGAAATTTTCTTTAACTGATTGATGACTACAAAAACAAAAACAAAACAAAACCAACCTAAAAATTACACATTGTGTCGGCAAAAAAAAAATATTCTAGATTTTCTTACGGGAAACGTGACCTTAAAAATGAAGAGTGCTTCATTATATAAGAATCGAAACTTACATAATTTTTCACATTTCTATTTCAACTGCTTGTCCTGAAAACTTGGAAATGAAATGTTTTTTTTTTGCTAAGCCTTCAGTTGTTATGTTGCTAAGTCACCTTTTTGAAACAAACGTTTGTATTTTTTTGGTGTAATAAAATTCAATTTGTAAATTTCTAGAGAAGGCTGAATTAATTATCAACTTATTCTATAAAGAGTACTTCTTACTCAAAAGATACAATCATATTTTCCTTCATGATTTGCTTCCCAAACGGCCCTCTCAATCCACCGAATCGTGAAGTTGAGCCAAGACCGACACTCCGCGCAGTTCATGAATGAATATACGTACACACACATAAACACATTTCAGCAAATATTTAATTCATTATCATTTCGCATTCTGCCATTAACTTAGGGATGGGCCGTACAATCTTGAGACGATGGTTCGTGTGGCTGTGCCAGTGGTGTTGAACATCCATCATTCTGGATTATCACATGGTGGACTCATTGCAAAGCAGAGAAATATGACTGCATTTTTTATTAGCCGTATTGTTATTAATTTCTACACAGGCAGAGCATTTCAACTTTCATATATAACTTATGTAAATTGTGTGATACAATCGACTTGTAGAAGGTTTTATGATTCAAGCTTCATCATTGTGAATTAAAATCACAAAATGACTTTATTTTCATCGTTACCAATGTAAATGTGTTAAACGCATGCGGTAAAATTATAGCATGCAGAGGACATTGTTCTATATTTTCAATTCGAAGATTAATGTCAAAAACCATAAGTTGCCAAAATAAAAAAGTTCAATGAAAACTTGCAACGATTCTTGATGTTTTAGTTCTTCGATTGGTGTGGGCTTTTAAATGAGAAAGAAAATACATTTTGATTGTTTTCCCAATATTTTTGAAATAAGAAGGCCTGCAGTCTGTGTATGTGTCTCTGATGGTTTTGTTTGATAATATTTACAGTCAAACTTTACGTTGAAGATGATTGGGATGTTCTGCATTCCAATGCGCGCAGCGCCAGCTGGATTCCGTTGAGTAGCGGTGATGTCAAGTTGACGAGGAACTGTGAGAGAATGACATGTGATGTAAACATCCAGATGTTCAGACTTGTTACTGATTTTCACTCCCGCTTGGTTTACCAATGAATCATGGATGATGTTTTGATGTTTTTTTAAATATATTTTAAAAATATCCTTTATAGTTTTATTTTAACCTATAATTGGATCTTAATGTCTTTTTGAAAATACTTTTGTGTCCTGTTTTTATTCCATCGTTTTATGTGAATGTTTAAATTGATTTTTTTTTTATTACTGAATTATAATGACTGTGCTGTATTGTATAATGTTTGTATTTTGCTTGTTGTCTGGACAGCCTTTGGTGAAATGATTTAGTTCACTTCTAGGTAATCCTCGGGTCTGTCTTTTTCTGTAAGTGTCATTTTATTGTGTGTGCCTGATAATAAATAAATAAATACATTTTAGAAAAATTAAAAAAAGATTATAGTTTCTTTTTGGCTATGGTGTTTCAAACACATTTGAAATCACTAGTTCGAGATTAGTCCTCAACGGTTACTCTTCCTTTCAGGAATATCAAGTTGGGTTTAGTACCCCGAAGACGTTGTTCTTAAAAAAGCTTTGAAATTGTGGCACAAATTCGGTAAGACGTGTTATATAGCACCGATATAGCACCGATGAATGAATCGTCCTAATTTGCCTATGCTCTGGAAGACACTACAGAAACGAGAAAAGCTTAACGAGAAAAGCAGACCTGTAAGTGCATAATGGAGACATCACGAACTAAATCAGCTGCAATTGGAGCTGTGCCCAAACCAGCCATGCATGACATGTAGATGTTCAGGCGATTCAAGGACTACAACTCGTTGCTGGATTAAGATATCGCTGGTTCATAGAGAGGTAGTTAGCTCTCCACACATCATTAGTTTAACGACAGTTCATATGTTTACTACGGTACGGGTATCCTTACATGTACACGGCAAGTGTAGTATTGCATTAATTAACGTGCAGTAATACATATTCAGACTGGACTCAAATATGCTAATGTCATTGGAGGATTTGTAGGTGAAAATGAAATGGGAAAATTGTCAACTCTCAATTTTAACCGGCCGTGGCGATACAAAGGAGAGAAATTCACCATGCGCTGGTGTTTACTGCTCATAGGTTTGCAATGCCCAAGTTATTCTGACGAAAAGATGAACAAGGCTCCCTTTATCCTTCGCTGAAGATTCTAAATATGGCCCTTTTGATTCTACAACAAAAGGCATTTTCATACGAAAGCGGCTATTGACAAGAATACAACAGGTCCTGTGTTCACAGCAGTACACAAAAAAATACGCGGCCTTGAACGCGTACATTTTTTGAGGAGATGAATTTTATAAAACCGACAACGAATTCACACTTTCTTCTTATCTTTTGCAAAGAAATAAACGAAAAAAATTACCATCTAAAATTAAACTATTAATTTACAGTTTTTGAAGGAAAATAAATCGAGTTAAGCAACAACTGGGTTTTGATAGGATATCAATATTTACTTATCATTTTTGACTGAATTTCGTAATCCACAAAATATCACCTTTACACTTCCAATTTCTATTCCACAGATATTCTGTGCATATAAATGACCTCTGCGGAAACTCGTTACTCTAGCAAGTGAAGAATTTTACAACCAAAAAAAAATGGGTCTATTCTTTAGAATCGCATAGGTGACACCTGAAGGGCCCATGTAATGGAATTATTAAAAATGCAATCCTTGAATTGTATATCTGTGTTCCGTTTCACTTTATTTTGAATCTTCATATTTCCATTTCAAGGACGTTGGTGGATTTTATTTATGCTAATGAATTTCCATATTCATGAGCAAAACTGTGATGTCATTCAAGGCACAAACTTCAGTTTCACATCTATTTCAGCATAAAAAGTCACCATATGTTTAGTGGTTTGCTGACTGCTGTGGTTATTTTTCTGCTTTTAGTGGTTATGTAGACAGTAAGACACTGAGAAAATATATTCACGAATGTTTTTAATAAGCAGAATTTTGGATTTACAAATTGAAGAGAAAACCCCTAATCTGAAGGGTGTGTTCCTGAAGTGACGTCACAGAAACAGCGCCCTCCGCTGTCAAGATAAGCATGAAACATTTTAAATGTAAAAAAAAAAAAGGTCTTTGCAAAAGTTTTACCAAAAAGGCATGTCTCATAGTTTTTATACATTTTAGAGGAATGGATATTCGCTACAATTATGTTCCAGTGTAAAGTTCATTTCATGGACCCTTTCAGAATAAACAACGAAGTCATTACTAATATTTGGTCCTTTATGTTTTTCAATATTTCCTGGTTTGTTTTTAATGGCCGTTCTTTTCTCAGTAGACTGTTACTAAGAAAACACAGATTCAAAAGCCATTACATTACCGATTCTTCTGGGATCCATACCATGACGTCACTGTCTTGAATAGCCAAATAAATTTTAGGTAGGCATACTGATTCAGTAGTAATTGTGATGAAAAGAAAAAGTATGCTTGGCTTAATGAGAAACAGAACTTAAAATATGCATCTCTAGTGATGTTTAATAAAAGTGTTTTATATATATGCAGGTAAGCTTCTTTCAGCTTATCTGATGATGTATGAAATGTACGCTATAATTCGGGACATATACACACGAGGACATACTAAAATTGATTATGTCCTTGCCAAAAAATGTCATTTAGTGCACGTTTCCCTTAAAACTATAGTTCAAGCAGTCCATGTATGCATCAGCTTCCATTAAAAAAAACCCATTATATTTTGACAAGAAACCAAGATCAAACGATTTAATAATCATCGTGTAAACGAAACGTCTCTTTTTCATAAAAAGTCACTCGTTTGTTCTGAGTCAAACCCACAGTTCTGATGTAACATGTCGAGACGGATGTAAATACGAGTCCATCCCTGGGTACGCTGTGAGTTTCCCGCTCTAACCATGCTGTGTATGTGCGGCTTTGTCGGTAACCCCAATGTATGTGGGCGTGATTCCCCCGTCCATCCGTACGGGCGCTGAGCGCTGATGCACGGTAGAAGTCCTGACAGAATCACGCTGAAAACCCCATCGTCACGTACCTTGGTCCCCTGTGGGAAACAACCGGAAAGGGTGAAATGGAATGTTAATATTACCAAAGCACTTTTGAATATAGATCATGATAGCCTACTTCTGCTTCAGGGAAATGTATCCAAGTTATCAATAAAATTTAAATTAGAACTCAAAAGCTCGTGTGATTTTGATCAATTTGTTGATAGATAACAGTGCTTAAAAGTATTCCAGCTACAAGGAAAACGTTTAGCAACTCTTTTAGTTAGGATTCTTTGTTTTTACAAATAGTGAGTATCCATGGGGTCATAATAATAGCAAAATACTAGAAGGTATTTCTATATTTGTTCGTACAAAATAAAGAAAAACTGGCAACCAAATAGGTTTAGTTTTGAATCATTGCTTTTGGCCATTAGTGTTGTGAATGTCCTCCGAGAACATCCAGCCGGCCAAATGGCGAGCGCTTTATGAGGGGCAGGAAGGAACAATTCAAAATTATGTTCTTCGGATTTTATAGCAAACAAATAAAACGAAATTTCGCTACATTGTGGACAGTGTGTAGCTCTGTAGCTATCTCGTAACAAATACCAATTGTGTTGGATTGGGATAATAATCCTGCATTAACTAATTGGTGGACTAAACTACAGACTACCTGGGAATTGACGTGCTGAAGGAATAAGACACGGTTATAAGAAACTCATCTTGTCAACATCTGGATGGCATCTTAGACAATTTTTTTTCATGGTACATTTCACTGTTTCCAAATACAAAACTCAGACACATACCTTTCCTTGGCTTCCTACTTCTTCTCGGTTCATTTCCATCCACTTGGGTCAGGCTCTGTGGCACTATGGCTTCCCTGTCTATCTTCTCGATGACTGAGGATTTCTTGGGAGCCTCTTCGGTATCTTGTCTCGATCCTTCCTTGCGCTCGGTAGAGTCCATATCGGTCATCTACTCCGTTCTCACCAGCCAACAGTCTAGTGCAAGTCTGAAACAAGTGCAAATAACATGAATCATAAGCTTGAATACGTGTGTAACGTCCCTGCTGTGTCAACGAGACCAGCTGAAGCATATGAAGTGGCAGACGCTCCCAACTCTACCCGGACGTACTGTGGAAATTACCGGACCGTTGTTGGTAGTGCGCACGCTGTTCCGGTACACGCAACATATCAGTTGGTGTGTACGCTACTCATACGGGAAATTTTGCAGGTGTATTTTAGGACTGCAAACAGGCGCCATCTTAGGGCGTGGCGTTAAATAAAAATCTCACCCGATTAATTTCTGTTCGTGGTTGATTTTTTAGAGCAGAGTTTGTGGTGAGAATCTGTTGTATTTGTGGTATCTCATTTTGTACGAATCTTACTAAATATGTTAAGGAAAATGAACGGTCGCGATCTGGATCCACACATTCCTCACTCTACATTCATGAAAGTATAAAATGTGTTTCATGTGACGTCCACATTCATATACAATTATTCTGTATCAACATTCGGATGAACAGAACGGATACATACACAGTATATTCCAATAGGAAAGACTGAAAGAAGACCGACATGTAAGACAGACTCGTGCTAAAATTAGCTATTCCTCAGCAAATGTGGTACTAAAATCTTTAAAATTGGAATAAAATTATAACTTTTACCCATAGTACTGACGAAAGTGCACATTTTTTAAATTCAGTTGGTAAAAAAAATGGGCCTTTTGTTTCGTTGCAATGCCATTCCCGTGTTTGTGGTTGAACTAACTACTCGGGCAATGACACGTCATACATGGCGGCCTGAAGTGCCACACTGTAACGTGGCGATATAATTGGGGGAAAATACATCAAGCGCACCGGTGTAGAATTTTGGAGGTTTTGAAATGCCGAAGTCATTCAGACGAAAAGACAAACAAGGTTCCCATTGTCCCTCGCTAAAGATTCCAAATATGGCCCTTTTGAGTTCAACAAAATACACTTTCGGGAACAAGCGGTCAAATAAAATTAGTACAAAGGTCCCATGTTTACAGGGGTGTATATAAAACTACGCGGCCTTGAATGCAGATAGACTGTTTTTGAGGAAGGAAATTTAGTTCAATTGATAACGAACTCGGTTATATTGGCACACTGTCTACCTGCCTTCCGGACAGAAATAAACGGCAGAATTCGTCACCAAACAGTTGTACTTACGAAAGACTGAAGACTCGGTCAATATGAGTGCGTTTGCCAAAATTTCGGCAGAACCGTCGTGATATTTATTTTGGAACTAATTTTGATCAGATCGTCCCTGAATCATCGATCAATAGACCGACTACCCACCGTTAATAAATAAGAGCTCCAAAGGTGTCGAATGTTTGGCTGTTCTCATTATGCACCCTCTGATGTTTATGGCATGTTGACGCGATCCGGCGGGAGGAAGCACGCGAGATGGTTTGGAATACTAATCAGGTGTTTGTGCCGTCTGGGTCTGCCGGGTTCAACCTTTAATTATAATATCAATGCCGTTGCCATGGGGATGAACCCACTTTATGATTACGTGAACTTGGGCTTTTGTTCGTCATAAATATTGCCAACTTGTAGGCCTATTGCTCATCGAGGGTAGTTTCCCTAAATTGTTTGGCTGCTATTTTGAACCACATCACGCCAGCCCATGAGTAAACAGACCTCTCCATGACTCCATGGCCAGGCTATCATGTCTGAACATACACGGAAATGGAACACTGTAACGGAAACGAAATATTCCCCATGAACTTTCCTCAATCAAATTTGTGGTTGGCTTTTCAGAGCAAGCATTAGTCCACGATAAATTAGGGCCTGAAAGTGATATTAAATGCTCCGTTTTGTTCCACTACATTTTGTTGATCATCGTTTTGCGCAATTCGGCGCGTTGAATCTTTAAAAAAAAAATTTCATTTGCGTCAGTTTTGGCATTTAAACAGTAAATGTCGAAAACAGCAACTTCAGTGCAGTCAAGTATTGTGAGTTTACGTGAAAAGTGTTTTTAAGAAATTGAAATTGCTTCCGTTTTTGCATGAGACAAATCTGTGTCTTTAATGCTGTATCAATGTCGGATTCAGATTATTCATTTCTTCAAAGACAAAGTGTGTTAGCATAGATTTTTTATTATACCCCAAATGCTAGGTATCTAAGTAATTCTTTTGCTCTTTTTTGGAATAAAGATGATAATTTTGTTTGATATGTGGTTGCGAGAACCATTATTTGTTTGGCGCCAAATGCATGATTTATTACTCCGGAGTTCAAGTGCGCAGTGGCGCCATGTACTTGGCGTTCGTTGATTGGACGAAAGGCATGAGCTCAGCGCGTGATACCGACGTGATACCAGCAATAGTAGACAAAAACCACGCCATAAATAAACTGGGGAAAATTGTTTGCGCAACGATGGCACAAAAAGGACCTTTGTTTAGTTGGAATGCTAACTGCCTGGGAATTTCCAGATGTGAGAAATTCCGAGGCTGAGAAAATTCTAGAAAGATATGGATTGCGAAATACATCCGGGGGAAAACCGGCATATTTTAAGCTTTCGCAACAGGTTGACGTGGACAGAAATTTGATGTTTTTTTTCTGCCAGTAAAACTGAACCGAAGGCTGAGTTATTGTAGCCAAAATCAATAAATCCTCAACGAAATAATAACCTCCCATATGCAAACTAAACTATACATCTGAACCATTTTTGTTTTAAAGAGAATTAGACTGAAAAAAAGAGATACCTCTATCCAGATTCATGCAGTGTTATAGGGGATACAACATGACGAATCGTTTTTTTAAAGAAATTTATAAAAAAGTCACTCTTTTTACCCTTTTTGTGTTTTTTTTGGGTAAAATGTACTATTATGGCCTCGAAATTAAAATCGTATTTCTATTAAGACGAAAGCCATGGGTACAAGACTGATAAATATGACGGATCTTTTAATGCAACTAACTTCAGAACAAACACTTCCTATACGGTGGATAATGGTGAAAATGCAACAAATTTGTGTCTATTTTGCAAATTACGAAATAATGCGGATAATTACTTACTGGAAAGGGATAAAAAAGTCACATAAAAAGTTATGTCCGTCTCCTACTTCAGTATTTCCTTCCTTGAACGAATGTTATATTTTGGAGTCTTCATATTGCAATTTCTTTGCTGGATTGCTAATTATTTCCGCATAAAATGGACAAAATAAATAAAGAAAAGATACATTTAAAACGTTTGTATATTAATAACCAATGATCTATATTAAAAAAAATTCCATCTTATAAAAAAAAGTTGATTTAGTAAAACCGTAAAGATGGAAAAATGTACTTAGAAGTATCCAAAATAGAGCAGCAGCTTTTGTATGAGGTTGGAAAATGAAGTCACAAAGCACCCCGACGTTCCTCCGTTGGAGGAAGTGCAATCCATGCAAGGGAGCCATACTAATGGTATAACAAATATGATATTTATGTATTTTGTTTTGAAGATAAGGGCTTCGAATCGTGAATGTTGAAATGTATTTCTTGTGGTTGAAATAATTAATGTTCAGGTTAATGTATAAACAATGAATATCGAAATTTCTTGATAATATTTTGTTATATCATATATTTTGTGTTGTAATTTAATTCGGATTCAGTGACTATTTCAAATGGTTTAAACATCTCCAATTATTCGTAAGTTATTTCAAATTATTTGAAGTCTTATAGAATATTTTACTTTAAGTTTATGCGTAATGGGTTTTAGAATTCAACGTGTTAGCATGTACACGTTCAATAAATTTTTTGGTCCAAATTATGAAATGAACTCGTCTACACCAAACAGATGTATTGTACGTCCTTCAATTCTTACAGACGGGGGGGGGGGGGGGGGGGGGGGGGCAGATCGTAGATATTGGCAAAGACTCTGCTGGTGAAGACAGAGAGACCTACGACCCACGTCTGTGACGTAACGTCCTTCAGGGATTGTGCGCAATCACGGCGTTTTGCGTGAAAATCGCGAGTGCCGAAAAATGACGCGCCGCGTCTTTTTTCGGCACGTGCACCAGAAATTGCCATGTGTGTATATGAATACAACCGGAAGATACCATTCTTTACAAAAACCACAAATACCGTCTAGAAAACCCAGGTAGAGAGATATTACCGGGTGTTCAAACAGAACGTGCATCAAAAACTAAACGAACTCTAAAAGTTGTTCAACTCACCAAAGCTCGGTTGTGGTTTTTCTTTGAAAGGAAGAATATTTAAATGATCTTTGTGTTTCGAAATCAAAGCAAAGTTTGTACCTATCATATCAGATACATTTCATACAATCATTACAGACACAGTGATAAAAGTGCTAAATTAGTATATTTTAAAGCTATATCGTCATTAATGAACACCCTGGCTGTATATAATTTACCAAATACTCCAAGTAGCAAAATGGAAGCAAAGAAAAATAAAAGCAGTTTTAGGAACTTCTTTCAAATGTAACATGCACTGAAACAATATACATGAAATTTTTCTGCCTTTAGAAAAGATCTGAACACCAGTCTCAGCAGAAACATAAGTATCGCAAACTCATTTCGACTGAAAATAAAAACACGTTTTCTAACAAAGACTTTCACTGAAAGCATATTTTCTGCTGTTTTAGGTCGATACATTCGTTTGATTTCAGATGATATGGATATATGATACACAAATGTGAGACGTTCTGACTAAATGGGACGGAACTAGGCTAGGCCGTAGTGGAGAAAAACGAAAAACAAAAACAGAATGCCGATAAGGTGCTTTTTGATTTTTCAGATTTATTGATATTTACTGTCTATGATATGTCTGCTACTCATATTTTATAAATAGTATAACAATTGTGGAATATAAGCGTGTTTTTTTTTCTAAGGAAAAATAATTGTCATCTTTCACTACACAACTTGACACTTTAAAGGCCCTTTTTCTCATGTTTTTTTTTTGACGTGTCGATAAATACAAACTTTAAATTGCCATAACTTGTGAACGGAATGTCTGATTTTTGACAGAACGCCTCACTAATAACTATAAGAATGCTAAAACCTCGATTGGGGACCTCTGGCTTTGGCCAATCACCGGCCTGATTTCGCTGACGTCACACAGAGCAGAATGGTGGACCACGGGATTTCTGTATCTCTCGAGTACTGTGCAAAGCCTCGAGTGGTAGGCTATCCCGCACAGCTTGGTTTATTAAAATCGGACCTATACCCAATTTGAATTTCAACATGGCGGACGGAAATGATCAAAGGCGTGATGATAAGAAGAAAAAAAGTGGGTCACAGGGGGATGGAAATGATCCTCTTCCCGATCGAGTAAGTAACTTCTGTAATATTGGTAATGATCTTAATGGTATATGTTATTTGAAAAATGAAAAAAAAAAAATTACTGATTGCGAGCGTGAATCCACAACATTTTTGTTCTTCCGGTAACATTTACTGCGCTAGAGCTTGGTGATCTTTTAAGACTTTCTCTACAGACTTATCCTATGTCTTGGGGATTTAAATGATCCGTGAGGCCGTCGATTCAAATAAAATAATTCATAACTGTTGGTTTGTTGTGCTTTGTTTTTGCATGGTGATATCATGCCAAGCCCTGGAGGTGTCATGTCTGCAGGGCAACTTTTCGAACTTGGGACGGGCTGTTCACACATCTTACTGACCGTGGACACTGGAAGAAATAGACCAAAGCTATGAATGATTATAAGTAAGCCGAACGTGCATCCCAATTTAATATCTACGAATACGTGCATTAAGGCTAAAGGTATTGACGACAAATGCATTAAATAGATTGATATGACAACATGCGTGGCATCAACCTTAAACAGATAAGCGACAGCATCCGAAATAACACGTCAATACGAATGGATTATTGCGCACTGATTTTCATGTGATTTAACCTTTTTTTCTAGTATGAAGAGCTGGAGGAACAGAAGTCGGTTCTGATCTGTTGTGATATTGTGAATGGTCTGGAAACCTCACTACCTAAGGAACTTCATCCTTTGGACGACAGTGTAATGGACAAGGAACACCCTCTCATGTTTTACAAATTCATAATACTTCTTCAAACTCAATTCAATGTGATCAAATTGATCCGGTACTATATTCACGCTGCAGAAAAATATTTCGAACAACGAAGCTAAACTGAATTCTCCTGAGCTAGAAGCAGCTATACATTCCAATCTCGTTTCGTTATTTTATTTGAGGAAAAAGTCGAATACTTTTAAAATGCCATCTTTAAAACTTCAATTTCAAATTGACATCACTGTTGATAAAGTAGAGTACTTTAAAATGCGACGCTTAAAACTTCAATTTAAAATATTAAATCGTGTTTTTTT